GTCAGAACCTTTATCGATAGAACGAGTTTCATACCTTTTAACTCAAGGAGCAGGAAATAGTTTTCTGGGAATACGTCTAATAATAATCGTGGCATCATTTGAAAGCAAATCATCAAAATGGCTACCAATTTCAGTAGATAAAATTCTCGATTTCATTTTTTTTTAAATTACCAACTAACAAAAATTTAACATATATGGAACAATAAACCAAGACTTTGAAGCTCATATCGGTTCTTAAGTGTTTTATTATTATGAATTTAGTTGGCTCTCATACTAATAAAATATATAAAAGCTATGTAATCTTTTTATACATTCTAGTTCTGTTATAAATATAGTTAAATTAGCTGAAGCAAAAGCATTGGAAAGATAAAAAGCACTTAAGTTAAGAGAGGCAGATTCATGAGTGAAATACGCCTTAGATTCCATGCTCAGCCGCTTAACTCACATGTTAACGTGTCTAGACGAGGTACATTGGAAATTTAAAGTTCTTTCAAATTGAGTATAATGAATTTTTTCAAGAGATGCATAGATTATGCGATTTGGTGAACAAACCGACGAAAACAGATATTTCTTGTGAAATAAGCCGTCAACATTCTTTAACTCCTCATCCGTTGGACCGGATCTATATCAAAAAGCTATATATAAAATTCGTAGTAAATTTTATCTTCTTTAACTTTGTACGTAGTAATAATTTCGTTTCGGACTCATGTTCAAAAAAGTTAGGAAATTTCGCTGTTTTTTGTATGTACTTAGGAACGCAATGGAAAATTTTGTTCGGGAACACAAAATTAAAACATAATTATAAAGATAATAAAAAATGTTTTGTTATCATACTAAATCAATAAAAATGATAATGGCATAATAAACCAAAATAGGATAAAAACAGATTAGATATTTTCCACAGTGCAACGATCTTTCTAGTTTAATATACTTAAAACACAAAACCTTATAGATCGCAACCAAAATTTCCTTTAAAAGCAATACAACAACATCAAAACATAATAAAAGAGGAAGTTACTGTAAAATAAGATATCAAAACTGAAAATTGATATAGCCGTTCGCTCAAAATTATAAATAATCGTTGCATACCTTTAAGTGAATTGATTAAACACATTTTATCCTATCTCGGGATGGTGTTTTTAGCTCAAATTGTTTCAAAACACTAAGGGGATCTCGCCGAATAATTTGGGTCATTAAACTAAAAATTGATTCAGCAGTTCGCTCAAAAAATCATTACAAACCTTTTATCAAATCGATTTTAAACACATTTTATTCAATTATGGATCAAACACATTTATTCAGCCTTTTAGATTGAATTATTAAAAACACTTAGGGGATCTCGCCGAATAATTTGAGTCATTAAACATAAAATCAATTCAGCCGTTTGCTCAAAAAACGCGTCGCTTAGCCGAGTAATTAATGACAATGTTTACAAGATTTACAATGAATTACCATTTTTTTTTTTATCATACAAAATCTCCGACATTTTATTTCCCTAGGAGACAATTTAGCTTTTGAATTTCCCAATAGTCAGAAACTCTGCAATTATAAATATCATGTTTAAGTCAGTGGGTGTAACCTAAAAAAAAAAAATCGATTTTTTTAAGAACGATTTATTTTGATCTTTTTCCATAGATTAGATCGTCAAAATTTTCTGACAAAATTTCAATTTTTAGTTTTAAGAAGCCCATGAAACAAAACACTTTTGATAATTTTTTTTTTTTAATTTGACTCTCATGTGTATCTCATTCTAATATCAATATCTCTAAGATTACTAGTTTGTCTATAAATATATACATCGTTAATTTATTTTTAAAAAATATATAATAGATGTCAAAACTATTATATAAAACCTGCTTAATGTGATCACTTACTAAACCAAACAAAATCCGAGCATAGATTAAAGTTATGACATGTAGAAAATTTAATACAGAAGATTACAAAATACTAGTTGAAAACGAAACGAGAAAATAATTAGAAAGAACTACGACAAATAAAGAAACAAAAGAAAATTTAATTAAGTTAATCGATCGTAATTGGCCAGCTGATGTATCTACTGATATAAATTGAGGTCTCAACCAATTAACAAGGGGAGAGGAAAGAATCGATTGTTGAGATACAAACCAACACTTCATCAATATTAGTTATGTTGAGGGATTGTAACATTTGACGAGTAGTGCTATTTCCAAGAAACTATAAATAACACATGTGCCTTCTATAATTCATCAATATAAAATCTTCTTTTATATTGTCAAAAAGAAGAGAAATAAGAAAACAGCAGAAAAACCATCAAGTCAATAGAGTACATGTACATAATATATCACAGATGTTAGAGAAACGACCTTTAGACAATGTATTTTCTTTTTAAACTACAATTAATGCTGATAAGATTTTCAAATTAACAACTAGTAAGGCGAATATAATTACCGCCAAACTGTATTGAACTGACTCTTAATGAGCATAGAACAAAAAACTTGTGAGAATACATTACATAAAGTAGCAAAAATATAAAGAGCATACTTTTAGTCCGATAATTTCTTTCTCGAGAATATGAATATGCGAATAGGTGTATTGTATATAAAATTCAATACATCTATTCTATTGAATTCACAAAAATTACATTAATGGAAGGTGTCGACAGCTATTTCTGGAATTATTGTAGCCGATAAGTTGCCTGGCTGAGAGGTGTTTGAACGACGATAATGTGAACGCCACTTCTATGTAATCGATATTAAAAATGTACGCTTCCATTACAGGAAAATAACTTTCGTTTATTTACCTAATTATGTCATGGTAAATTAAAAAGTAAAGGTAAGGAAGATTTAAATTCGTGCAGGATGTAATTTTTTTTTCAGAATAGAAAATTTCTATGCACGTTTTACGTCTTGATTATAAAGGCAAAAAATTGGTCTCTTGTTTGTAGTAAAATCCATTTGACTGACAAATTATCTTAATCCAATTTTGATCAAATTAAGTTAGGAATCACTTAAACACCATTTCATATAGTTAGTTAAGTTTCTTTCTTTTTCTCCAAAGTAATTATCGTTATTTTTATGAAAAAAAAAAAGCTTTCGGGCTAAAGCCCCCTCCCCAAAAATTCAATCCTGGATCTGCTAGTGGTCCAGAACTAGAAGACGGAAGTGCGAAATAGGAATGACTGGGGGTCAAAGTTGCAAGAGGCCTTGTCTCCACGCGGGACGTAGCACAGTACAAGAAGAAGAATTCGATCTTCGAAGTTGGAGGAAATTTGGGGAATATTGTCAAATAGTTTGGTATAAATTTCATCAAATTTCATGAAACCATTAGCATTCGTGCAATTGTTATAATGGTTGTAAAATAAAGTAGATAGTAAACATAAGACATCGGGAGGTTTTACTATTTTTTTAAAAATCAATATAATTTATTTGACGTGTTTTAATAAAACTATTTTATTCAGTTAAAAATATCTCTTATAAATATGGTGAGGAAGATATATTGATTTACTTGCTAAGCATTTTTTGAGGTGCTATCGAGCTCTACTTGCATTCTATGCATTTCGTTTTAATTAAATTTGCATACATCTTTTTATCTGAGCAAGCCGGAAACGGAATGATACACGACCACCACCCGCAATGCGGGTACTATTGTTAAACAACTGCAACAAATATATTTTACATAACAAATGAATGAAAAAATGACAACCAATTTGAATATCTTCACTTTAACGATCCTGGACATAGCTGTGCTGTGACATAACTAATGAAAACATCGTGAGTCATCATGGATTGAGTCAGGATTGGGAAGCTGAGTCAAACCTGCCTTTGTAATCAACAGGTAAACTTGTAATCTTTCGTAAGGGAAATTTATAGTTCTTAATCAAATATATAAAACATTTTTGAGAAATCATAATCATAACGGTTAAGGGGAAATCTAATAAGTTTACACTAGTACATGAAAAAACTCCCAGCAAATCAGGATAGTTTCCTTACTAATCCTGGATATATAACCAAATAACTATATACCTGTATATTTTACCAAGATGATAGTTTTATTAAAAATCGAAAAGAATAATCCAATAAAACCTTGCCATATTAAGTTTAAAAACTAATATAACCACACATCGTCAAATGTTTATTGTTTGTCTCATTTCACAGCCATTATATTCACAATTCGTTAATTTTAGCAGTAAAAATACTTTCCTTACATTATTCCCCAAATTTCCTCCAACTTCGTTTTTGAAATATAACCAAAAAGATAAAAATATATTTGAGCATTTCATAGCGAATATAGGGAATGGAATTTGAATTAATTGAGAACGAGATATATACGTACATAATATGTTTTCTCATTCGGAATCGGAAGTAGTATATGGAACTAACACGGTATTAATCCTTAAAAATTCCAACAAAAAAAATCATCAAAATCGAATAAACCGTAGTAGGTGATGTAACCAATCCTACTATAATACAACATAAGACATAAATGTGCTATGTAATTGGTAAGCCCTATAAGAACCGAGGCAATATTTTTTAGTCCAAATGTACCCCGATAGAGTTTTGGCCCGTATCACCAAAACGTCCAGGATTTCAGGAAAAAAAATGAGAACTGTTGTTCTACATACTGGAAACTCGTTTTAAACAGCCTATTGCCCAGTTTTCTGTAGGGATGGATAATTGAAGTTAAGCATATTGTTTAGGACTCTCGTGAACTTAAAATATCAATTAAACAAAATCTAAAGGAAAACAAATTGACAATTACTATATTCTAGATAGAAAGAATTAAAAAGTTGCTAGTTAGTAATTTTATTTCGAAATGAACGAAAAACGAAATGTATTCCATTAATAAAGAAACAAAAATAAATAAAACTAAGATAGTAAAAATAAAAATGTACTAACCAACATAGAAAAATCATTATGAATCATATTTTAAAAGATGTAGCAATAAAATTAAGAAGTTGTTAAATGTTGAGTTAAGGAGGAATGTGATATTAAAATATATTTAAAAAAATAAGTTAAACGATCCCTGCATAAAACAACTAATATTAAATTCAATTAAAATTAAATATTAACTGTATTGATTAGAGAAAACTCGATTGGCAACACTGAATCCACCCAGTTAGAGGTTATATTTACCAGTTCAGGTTATATCAGTCAAAAACAGTCTATATATCAGTTAATTGTGTTACATAGTGAAAATTATTCAGATTGTTTAAGTATGGATAATTTACTTCAGTATGGAACTGACAGCGAAGATGAGGACGATATGGTAGGGCCGCCTATACCGGAGCAGTACAAAACAGAGGTAAATGAACAAAACATCAACAGTGTAACACCAGCAGAAATTGTAGATGACCAGGTCAAATTGAAGTCACTTAAAATTGAAGATGAAAACTTCCCCAAGGTGAATAATGACATTGTTTTGACGAAATTTATTGACAAACAAGATAATGAAAATGATTCCAATGATGAATTTATTGGTCCACCCATACCACCACAGTTTTTAAATCAAAATAATGATAATAAACATGTTACTGATACTGAAGATGATGAAGAAATCATCGGTCCTCTCCCTCCACCTAATATTTTAGAAAATATTAATAAAGAAATAAATGAACAAGAAACCACAAAATCAAGAAATAGAAAAGAAAGTGAAGATTCTGATGATGACGACGAAGATGAGGATGATGATGAAGAAACTGATGATAAAAAATCTGAAGAAGAAGATCTACTCAGTCAAATCCCAATTAATGATAGTGTGTCATTAATGCATGGATCAAAACCAGTGGTTGCGGTTGCAATAGATTCATCTGGGTCAAGGCTGGCAACGGGATCGGTAGATTATGATGTACGATTTTGGGATTTCGCAGGCATGGATATGACTATGCAAAGTTTTCGGACTCTAACACCTTGTGGTAACAACCCTATTAAATGTCTTGATTACTCATCAACTGGTGATGCTGTATTAGTTATATCAGGTATGTCGCAGGCTAAAGTGTTGGATAGAGACGGGCATGAACTAATCGAGTGTGTTAAAGGTGATCAGTATGTAACCGATATGGCTAGAACAAAAGGTCACATAGCACCCCTAACCTGCGGGTGCTGGCATCCAAGAACAAGAGAAGAATTCTTAACCAGCTCAGAAGATAGTACATGCAGAATCTGGGATGTAAAAGATCAAAACAAGCATAAAGGCATAATTAAATGTAGAGCAAAGAATGGCCTCAAGACGAGCCCTACCACCTGCAGTTATAGCAGAGACGGAAACCTAATAGCATGCGGCTGTCTAGATGGTTCGATGCAAATGTGGGATCATAGAAGAATGTTCGTAAACACAGCATATTTAGTGCGAGACGCTCATGATTTCGGTTCTGAAATATCATCTATTGCATTTTCATATGCTAGTTCATTACTTGCAAGTCGGGCTGCAGATGGTACACTAAAGTTATGGGATTTAAGGGCATTTAAAAAGCCTCTTCATACAGTCAGTGATTTATTTTCAAGATACAGTTCAACAAATTGCATGTTTAGTCCTAATGACTCAGTGATAGTAACAGGAGTTTCATTATCTAAAGGTGAAAATGAAGGAAAACTATTATTTTACAGTACTAAAACATTTGATCTTGTAAAAGCAGAAGAAGTTACAGATTCCCATGTTATTAGGACTTTATGGCATCCTAGGCTACAACAGATATTTGTTGGATGTGGAAATGGTGTAGTTAAAGCATATTTTGGAGATAAGAGTGGAAGGGGAGCTCAGTTAGCATCATCTAAATTCAGAAGAAAAAAGAAACAAGTGGAAGTAATAGCAGCCCAACAGATTATCACACCACATGCACTGCCAATGTTCCGTCAAGACAGGCCTAAATCACTGAGAAAGCAAATGGAAAAGGATAGATTAGACCCAGTAAAGTCTAGAAGGCCAGAATTACCAATAAAATCAGGACAAGGGGGAAGAGTTGCGGCATCTGGAAGTACATTAAGTTCCTATGTTATCAGGAACCTTGGGTTAAGCAAAAGAATTGATGATGACCAGGATCCAAGGGAAGCTATCCTTCGTTATGCAAAAGAAGCAGCAGAAAATCCTTACTGGATATCACCAGCTTATGCAAAAACTCAACCCAATACAATATTTCAAGCTGATGGTGATGATAAAGATGAGCCAAGTACGAAGAAAAAGAAAATTTAACATTAATTATTCAACATGATAGAATAAAATATACCAATGTATAATTATTATATAGAGGCATATATCTGTGTACATTTCTTTTAAAAATGTAAATATTATGTATATAACAAATATGAATAAACTCTTCTAAAAATAAGACTTTTTGTATCCTATATCACTATAATCATCAATTTGAGTTCTAAAAGTAAGAATGCATAAATAGGCCAGCAATAAAAAGGTGTTTGAAATTTAACATTGTTATCTAACTGATAAGTGTATTTTTAACTATTAAACATGACAACAAAACAACTAATTTTTTTTAAGTAACTAAACTTAAAATTCATTAATATGAATCATTGAAGAGAAGAATAGTTGGGGTGGTCAGTCAAAAAGGAAGGCAAAAAATAAATGATAATATTTATTTTTTACATATGCCGACGTTTCGACCTGAAGTTCAGGGCTGTCTCCTTAAGTGTTGCAGGGAGAATGTATGAATCATTGTTTAGTGAGTACTCTTACAGAAAACAGGGAATTTTACATAATAATAAAAAAAAAAAAAATGTCTTTAGAAATTGAATCATTGACACATTAAAAACTGCATACCGTTTAAAATATTATGCTTATAATAATTAAACACGAATTCAAATGAAAACAGCATATGGGTAAACAATAAATAGTTAGCTAGTATAAATAGTAAGTATTTAATGGTTTCAATTGAAAATCCTTATCTTGAAACAGTTTGCTGTTGTAAATTTACAAAACAATATATAATAAACAGTAGTTGATCAAAAACACAACTAAGAATCCTGTTTTGTTTTCATAATTTAAAAGATGAGTAGCTTTTAAGGTTAGGATGCAACAATTCACTCTTTTCACAATAATTTCATAAAAGCGGCTTGATAATTGTAAACGAATCGGAAATAATAGATTAAAATGAAAGTTGACATAATAATGTAAAGCAATCAAAGCTTTTTGGAGTCTATTCATGGTAAAGTAGCGATCACAGAAACAGTCCCTAGTAAAGCATACATCCGACGATTACCACTTAATATTTGTTTCGTTTTGAAGGTTTGTTGTTTATTACGTATAAATATAAACTTACTTTGACCAACGAGAGCCTTCAGCGCCATTTTCACTCGTTTGTGTCAAGTGTCAAACTGGTCTGGTCTATCCCTATCACTCCTCTATCAGAACACTACCCAATTCGGCTGGGCACTTGTTAACGACTTCACTTGCCATTACTCAACGTTTTTATTATATATATTTTTTTAATGTCGACAGGATAGGCAAAGAAACTATAAACATAATTATTTTGTAACAAATAAGATCGTATAAATTGATTTGTTCATTACTAATGTATATGAGAAAAAAATTAAACGGTAATTTTTCAGGTAATCTATACAATAATCTCTGCTGTACAGTTAAATTTAAACGTATAATTATTTAATAAACATAACTGTGTATTATGAAATAAAACAACGAAAATAAAAAGAAAGTCATAAAAATTTTTTTTAGGGGGGGGGGGCTAAGATGATACTTCGATTTCTAATTGTGATATTATCGGTACTAATTCTGCCATCTTTTAAGGCATTAACCTTTATTGTTATTATTACCATAGTAGGAACTGAATATGAGTAAAATTGATAAATTTCATCACAGTAACACTATAACTTCAGAACAATGCATAGATAATTTTAGGAAAGAAGTTGGTTGAGATTTTCAGTCAGTGAAATAACAAAGTAAAAATAAATAAATTATATTTATTTTATCTTTTTTGTCGACGTTTTAGCCTAATTTTCAAGCTATCCTGAGGGCTGTTTGTTCAAAGGATATAGAATTAACAAATAGATATAATTTGTGGGGTCATAAATAGTCTAAATAGTGGCAGTTCTAAGTGAAACTCCTTGCTGAACACACCTCCCTGAAGAAGACCTGCAAAGTCGGGTCGAAATGTTGGCTTTTAATAAAATAGTTTTGCCACTATTTAGTCTATTTATGACAGCCACTTCGGACAATCTCCTTCCTTAATATTACAACGGTCTCCTAATATCTTCTGCAGTCAATTATTATCCACTACCATAAATTATTTTAGTAAGTAAAGAGAAAATTGAATAGATGAACTAGAATGATCAAAATATTCTTGGAATACGTTTATAGCTATTTTAACTTAATTATTATATAAATATGGTGATTAAGAGCTTAATGACAGAATAAATTAAATACATTTGACATTTTTTCTAGGAGTAATTTGGAAGCGACTTCGTTAATTCTATATGATTTTTTTTAATCAGCCATTTGGTGCTTATTTTTGTTTCAGACTTAGCAATTAGAACATAGTGTAAAAGTCAACTTCAACCATCCAATAATGGACTAGCTCATTATTGTTATAAATCAACTACTTATTCATTTAGGATAAAATAAAAAAACAATTTAGCCAAATGTCATGGTGAAGAAAAAGTTTAAAGTTAATCAATATCATCAACATCAACAATTTATCAACATTTTTTTTTACTTTTAATTATTATAATTTATTTGCAACTCAACATTCTAGAAATTAAAGTATATATTCTTTCAAAAATATGCTGAATATCATTGAATGATTCATAATTTGAGATCAATATTCTTCTCTATTAAGGTTTAATGTAATCTTCAATAGTATTATAATATAGTATCCTGGTGCTTGTAGATTTGATAAAAAGTGGTGTCATGTTATAATTTCAGAAAAATAAGGGATTCAAAAATAATAAAGTAGACAATTTCCTTTCTTTAAAATTCAACAATTTGTTCTTAATATCACAATATAAAGTACTATACATAATAAAACAAGAAACTGATATTAATTTCATTCACTATTACAAAACAAGGTTAACAAAAACAAGACAACTTGTTTTATACAAATGAATACTTTTAGGTGTTTCGAAATCTCAATTCTAAATTAAAAATATATAAAATCTTCATGTTTACATTAATACACTCATTATAAGAACAACCAATTATTTTAGATATAAAAATTAAAAACAAGTATATACAAAATAACAAAATAATTAATCAACAATCAGAAATATTGAGGACAATTTCATACTTATTGGTTGATTTGATGTTACCTAACTATGATGCCTTAAGGTGAGCATTCTGCTTTAAATCAGAACAAAACAAAACCTGAGGAGAAACAAAGGAATTAGTCATAATTTCAAATAAAGTAAAAATTTCAAAACAGATGTAATCAAACTTACAGTATGTGCCCAGCCTGCGTAAGGACCAAATGTTTTTCTGAGACATTCTCCTATTTCTTTGTAAGACTCTTTGGAAACCGTCTTCTTGCTTTGTAAATGAGGCAAATAATATCGTTTTGCAATCTGGAAAACATGAGTGTCAACAGGGATGGTTTCCAAGTGGTCTAATGCTGTCAGGCAAATACAATCAGCGACCTAAAAATAAATACAACTTTTAAGGTAAGGGTGGGCGGGGTGGCCGAATGGGCTAACACGTGTGCACTGCACCACCGTGCAACCAACCTGATACATAAGACTTCGATAAAAAAATAGTCACGAGTTCGCGTGCCCAGAGGAGTTTTTAAATCCCTGCCCACACTCCCTGGCCCGGGAAAACCCCCGTATAGCCTTAAAGTCGAGGAAGGGGTGAAAAGGGGAGGAAAAAAAAAAAAAAAAAAAAAAGAAAAAACTTAAGGTAATAATTTAGACGATTTTAGTATCCATTAATAAAATAATTTAATATAAAATTATTCAAATTTTCATCTTTTTAAGGATACTATCTGATTTTAAAACATTTTGTATATTTTCATCTAAAAAATCTCCCGGAGGACTTACTAGTATCTTTATAAAGTCAATAAAAACATTAAAAAAGAATTATACAAACCAAAAATATGTACATAAAATAAACTAAACCTACTTGCGTATATCCTTCACAGGGAAGGAGAGGCATTGACGACATTAAAATATTCAATCATAAATATGAAACAAAGATAAAATATAAAAAATAAGCCTCAGTTTTTAGGCAGTTCAAATCTCTCAAAGTGCCCAGATGTTGTGGTAATCGTTTATCAACCCCTTATTGTCCTTCTGCTACGTTCTTACCTGCCCTTGACCCTCACAACCACCCATACTTTATGAAATCGATTGAAAAATTGTTGTGAAACACTCCGCACAACCCAATTTCTGCAATACATTTAGTTTTTCTTAGATATTTTTGGTGTTTATGGTAGAATTGAAGTTTTTAAAATGTCCTGTGAAGATGTCATGTGTGTGCAAGAAAAAAGAAACAATACAAAAACATGTTGAAAGTGTAAAAAATACACTTGCAAAGCCCATCTTGTAATTGAGCCTCTGAGCATTTCGTGTCATCAAAAAGACAAATCTAACTACAATTAATTTGAATGAGTGATTAATTTGTTGCTTTTAATATTTTAGTTTTTACATATTTTTAATTGCTTTTTATAGTAAACTTATGTTGCTTTGTAACCAAACTTATGTTTTATGTTATCAAGTATACATAACTTATAATTGGTTTTTTTTTATCATCAGATGTAATTTATTAAATTAAAGTTCATAAAATATTTTATATTTACTTATTTCTTTTAGTCCTGCCTTATATTGAATATACAAAAAATAAAAAAGTAAACATGTTAATTTCCCTATCATAAAATTAAGTTAAAAACAAAAGAAAAAATAAGTTACAATAATTGTATATAAATAAATACTAATAGAAATTGTATAGTTACATATTAATGTACAAAATAGTGAATTTAGAAATTAAACAAGTGAGAAAAAAAAAATTAATCACAGGCATGATGCACTCAATTCATGCACCCCAAGCTTATTGGAAGGTTAACAAACTCCATTCCAACCAAAATCCTAATTTTACTGGATTACATTTATCTGTAGCATGATTATCTCATGGAACTATTTTGTTACTAATTCTTTTGTATTGTTGGGTTTCAGCCCCCGATGCCTATGTAACAAATCTAGCACCAAACATGCAAGCTAAGTTATCCACTGGGCTCCTCAATTGCTAAAAAACGTGTTTTTCTGTAGAGTGCAGCACCAATATGACTTGGATAATTTTGATGAAACTTATATCTGGCCTCCTTTAACACATGATAAAAAGTTAGAGATGGGTAATTAGTCAACTAATTAATTTTAAGGATGAAAAAAATTTTCAGGAATTTCAGTCAATATTTTTATCGGATTAGCCGATGTTTCAATTCAAAAGAGTTCTTGTCTGATTTCCACATGATATTCCTGAGGATGACCCACAGCCACATGTTTGGATCGAAACGTCGGCTAACCCAATTAAAATATTGACTGAAATTCCAGACAATTTTTTTCATCCTAATGATAAAAAGATCCCCTTCTCCCCACCTGTGATATAGTCCATAACAAAAATATGCAAGACCATTAAATCTGCAAAATATATGTATATATATTTTTTTAATCCAGATGACCAATACAAAAACATACTAAAAATTTATTAATAGCCTACAAAATAAATTAATATAACTTTAAAGTTAAGAGATAACACGATTTATAATGAATAAATAAACTAATAAAACAGAAACCTTAGCAGCGATCCCAGGCAGCTTCATAAGTTCCACCTTTGCCTCTTCATAAGGCAATGCTTGAAGGTTTTTGAACCACAAATCACCACCATTGGCAACAATGTATTTTGCAGAATTATGAACATATTTTGCTCTAAATCCAAAATTTGCTTTCACAAGATTGTCTAATACTGATTTTTCAGCAAGTTTGTTCACTGGTGGAAAATCGTAATAAGTGGTACCGTCTAGTTCTCCAATTTTTTCACCATACAGCGAACACATTGCTTCGACCATTGTGGTCATTCTGAAATGAAAGTTGAATAAACATGTTAATAGAAATATGAATGCTATAAAATGTTTAATCATTAAAACTATAAAATTTACAAATTTTAATAATATAAAATGACGATTGAAATTAATGGTTTATAAGATCTTAAAATAAAAGTATAGGAGAAAGTAACATTAACTGTTGAGTGGAATTCAGATTCTGTCTTGCCAGATAAAGCTATAATATAACTAATATTAAAATTTTGGGAGAAAAATGCAAATGCTACATCACCATTTCATCTATCAAGGAGAAAAAAATATCATTAAAATGTTAAAGAACTTTATTGTAAGGAGTCACATAAAGCATTGACAGAACAATCAGTTTCTTCAACAGTTCATATTTGTTGACAACTGTGTAAATATATTATGTAAATGCGATAATATCATGAAAATGTTATTGCACTTACACAATTTTTTTTTTTTTTATGAATCATACTGTACAGGAAGTTTTTTTTTTTTTTTTTTGAAGGTATCAGAAAAAATAATCTTCCTCCTGTGGTAAATTTTGTATTACTTATGTACATTTTAACATTTCGGGGCCCTGCCCATCTTCAGGAATATTTTAAGATATAATTACCATTGTTACAATACATATATTCAACTATAATAATCTATAATGATGTGGAGATGGTTGACTGTTGATATAATATGAGAAGGAGTTAATCGGGGAGTGCGGTCAAATAAATACTAAATTAAAATATAGTAATTATTTTAATTTTTGCCAAAAATAATTGCTATATTTTAATTTAGTATTTATTTGACCGCACCCCCGATTAACTCCTTCTCATATAATAATCTATCTTAAACTTTCTTTATAATTCAAATGTAATTATTACGTTTTTCCAATGGCAGAGCCCCAAAATATTGAATATAAAAGTGGAAAACATGAGTAATAAAAAATTTACCCCTTCATATTTATATTTTAGAAGGAAGATTTAATTTTTTAGCACACCTTCAAGAAACTATGTTTATTTAATGGGTTTTTTTTGTACACCTTTATTTAAAATGCTTTGAAAATTCTTAAAGCATGAATAATGCTGAAGTATTTTTAAATGTTTTATTATTAGAAATATATAGCAAATACTTCTTTCTTAAAAAAACAAAACAATAATGGGGTAAAGTGAGTAGAGTCAATGATCACAATGGACTTTTTATAATCTCCCTTCACTTCAGAAAATGATATATCATAAACAGCCTTAAAATTATTAGAAAAATAAAAAGTGATATCTTGATAAAATATATCACTTTTTAATATCAGCTGGTTTTATGAATACGGTTTTTGAACTTACCTAGATATTGTATTATTTGAAGAACAAATAAAGGCAAAAAGGTTTTCCACGATATCTTGCTTGATCATTCTCATACCACAGAAGTTTTCAGACACAGATTTAAAATGGTCATCAAGATCAGACCATCTTTTGTAATGCTCTTGTAAAGGAAAATCTAAACGAAAATAGCCCTTTAAAGTCTCTTCACATTGTTTTTCATCGGTGACTTCTATATTGATAGTATCACTCTTCCTCTTTTTGGACTGAGATGAGCTACTGGGTTTTGGGAAGGAGGAAGTATAATCAATATGGCTCTCAAATTGCTTAAATGTCCAAATCTTTCCAGCAAACACACCTCTCCAAACATCTGTTTCAATCTCTTTAAACCTACGGATGTATTTAAATATTAATTAGTACACTGTCAATTATTTATAACTTTTTTATTTTCTTTATGTCTTAAATTTTTCCCTCATAATTATATCTATGTGTGTGCATATTGGTGTAACAATGTTCAGCCTTCAATATAATGTAATAAAAACTACCTTCAATATGAAAAAAATTAAGAATACAAGTAAAATAGATAAAAATTAAATTACATTATAAATAAATTTTCTACCTGTAAGTTTGACCAGAAACAAATGTTGTTTTCAAATTTAAATCATTCTTGGTATAGTGCAAAGTTCCAGAAACAGAAACTAACTCTGAACTTAAATCTGCAAAATAATGATAAAATGTTATTAAAAGATTTTTACTTTAATCAAATTAATTAGGATTCATTACTATTTTATTATGATTTTAAAATATTTTTTTCATGAAATAGAATCAAACTGAAGCGAAAGATGATAACAAAGTCCAATGTTTTAGTTTTTCGATGACTGGTAAAACTCTTTCTTGCAATAAGACATATCAGTCTGATCACAAAAATAATATATACTCTTGTATTAAATTGTTTATATATATATATATATATATATACATTTATGCATATTAGATATATATATTTTATATATATCCAATATGTAATTATATAAAAAAACACAATTAAGAAATTAATAGTGTTTATTTTGAATATAAGTTTGTTTATATGATTTTTACAAAGGTAAATTTTTAAGGATGTAGAGATAGTTGATCGTTGATATAATATGAGAAGGAGTTAGTCGAGGGTGCGGTCAAATAATAATTAATATATTTTAATTTTTTTTTTTATTTATTTGACCAACAATGAGAGGGGCCCTCCAGACTTGCTGGAGGGAGGGGACCTCCAGACTTGCTGGAGGTAGGGGCCCACCAGACTTGCTGGAGGGTGTGACGTAGGATTGAACGCCCTACTCACATATCTTTAGTTCACCAAACACCACAAAAAGTCATGGATCTCCCTAAGGTAAAACGCTCATTATCCGGAGGTAAACTAGTCCCCCGTTCGGGTCTCCGGGTGGGGACTGCTTTAGGGGATTCATGCCGCAAGTTGAAATATAGGGATTTAAATATTGGTACGTGGAATGTAAGGAGTTTAAACACAGCAGGGGGGCTAAAATCGGTCGCGAATGAGGTAAATGGGTACAATTTGGATGTCGTGGCTCTGCAAGAGGTTCGCTGGCCAGGGGAGGGCTCGATGAGGGAAGGAAAGTACACTATTTGGTACGGAGGAAGCGGGAATCATTGTTTAGGTACCGGGTTTCTAATTAGGAGTAGATTACTATCCGCTTTGAGGGACGTACAATTCTTTAGTGATAGAATTTCGGTAGCTACATTTCAGGGACGTTGGTTTAAAATCGCATTAATAAACATACATTGCCCGACCGAAGACAGTGACGATGAAGTCAAAAGTGAATTTTACGATAAACTCGAATGGGTTTATGATAAACTACCGCGAAACTACATGAAAATAATTGTAGGTGACGCGAACGCAAAGGTAGGAAGGGAAGAAGTTTATATTCAGACGATTGGTAAAGAAAGTTTGCACGAATATAGTAATGATAATGGGATCCGTCTGATAAACTTTGCCATCTCGAAAAACCTGGTAATTAAAAGTACGACGTTTAAACGTAAGGATATTCATAAATATACTTGGACATCGCCGGATTCGCAAACACGAAATCAAATCGATCATGTCTTGATACAACACAGCTGGCAAAGCAGTATAATCAATGTACGGTCTTATCGCGGAGCAGAATGTGGGTCGGATCATGAATTAGTAATCGCGAAACTTCGACAAAAACTTAATATAAAAAAGAGAAAAGAAAACCGTTTCGATTTTGAGAATTTTAATTTGGAAAAATTAAAAAATCCATCAATTAGAAACCAATTCGAGCTAGATGTTAAGAATAGGTTTGAAGCTTTAGAGCTTCCTGACGAGGACCACGAGGATATTGACAAGTTATGGGTAGAGATCAGGGATAATATTAAAGCGGTCGGTAACTCGTGTCTAGGAAAAAAGGAAAATAAGAATAACAAACCGTGGTTTGATGAAGATTGCTTAAACATGTGCGAAAAAAGAAAAGCCGCTAAATTAAAAGCTCTAAATAATCCTAGCGAAGACAATCTGGAATACTTCCGAATCTCAAAGAACGAAACGACAAAATTGCTCAAAAATAAAAAAAGGGAGTATCTTAAAAATAAAATAATTGAAATAGAAACTAATAGAATCCAAAATAACGTAAGAGACATGTACAAAGGTATAAACAGATCACGTAAATATGTAGGGCCCGTAACGTCTGGAATTAGGGATGATAATAACAATATTCTGACCGATCCGGTTGACATATTGAATAAGTTTAAGGAGCACTTTGACAATATTTTAAATACGGGAAATTATGATCTGTGTCCTCCTTCTGAGTACCAGAGTGCTGAACCGTTGATAGAAGGACCAAGTAAAGAGGAAGTTGAAGTAGCTATCGGCAAATTAAAATCATATAAAGCAGCGGGAATCGATAATATTCCTACTGAACTAATTAAAGCATGCGGGGAAGCTGGAGTTTCTAAAATACATCGGTTGGTTGAAAAGATCTGGGTGAACGAGAAATTACCTGAAGAATGGAAAGAATCTATTCTTATTCCGATTCACAAAAAGGGTCCGAGGACGGATTGTAATAACTATCGAGGAATTTCACTCCTTCCGGTGGGTTATAAAATATTCACTGTAATCTTAACCAGTCGAATCACGGAATACGCCGAGGAAATTATCGGAGACTACCAATGCGGATTTAGACGGAATCGTTCGACTATTGATCAAATATTTTCTTTACGGCAAATATTAGAGAAAAAATTGGAGTATAACGGTATTGTTCACCAGCTGTATATAGATTTTAAAAAGGCTTACGATTCTATTGACCGCCAGAAACTGTATAATATTCTAATCGAGCAGGGGATTCCAAAAAAACTAGTAAATCTAGTCAGGATGTGCTTGACGGAGACACTCAATAAAGTTAGAATCGGTAATAATTTGTCCGAAAAATTTGAGGTTCGTTCGGGCTTAAAACAGGGGGATTCTCTTTCGCCTGTCCTGTTCAATTTGGCATTAGAACATGCCATTAGGGAGGTAATGCGTACCGTGAAAGGGTTGGATCTGGGCGGGACAACATCCGTGCTGGGCTATGCTGATGATCTGGTACTGTTAAGCGAAGACGTTGAAACTATAAAACTAAATACGACAACGTTAATGAAAGCCGGTAAAGAACTAGGACTCGAAATAAACGTGGATAAAACAAAATATATGGTTAGCTGCAAAAATGGCGATACTACTGGTGATATCGATATAGATGGTAATATGTTTGAACAGGTAGATAAATTTAGGTATCTAGGTTCTACGATAACTAGAAAAAACGAAATTGAAGAAGAGATTAAAGTTAGACTGAAGGCGGGGAATGCTTGTTATTTTTCTGTGACAAAACTACTCAGTTCGCGCCTCTTGTCCCGAAACTTAAAAATTAGAATCTATAAAACAATTATCTTGCCTACAGTTCTTTATGGATGCGAAACTTGGCCGCTTACATTAAGGGATGAGCAGCGTCTTAAGGTGTTTGAAAATAAAGTATTGCGTAGAATATTCGGACCGAAGAAGGACGAGTTAACCGGAGAGTTCAGACGGTTACACAACGCCGAATTGCGTGAGCTGTATCCGGGTAATATAATTGAGGTAATTTCATCGCGGCGAATCAAATGGGCTTGTAAAGTTGTTGGGCTTAGTAACGAGAGAATTCCTAAAAGGTTAATATCTGCTGTGCCGAATGGTAAGCGTCCGAGGGGTAGACCGAAGCGAAGGTGGGAAGATTGCATTAAAGCCGATCTGAAGGGACTGGGTTTGGACGGCGAACGGTGGAGGGAGGTGTGTAACAAGCGATTGGTGGTGTCGGCATCGAACCTTCGGGTTCGCTAAGCCTTATTATTATTATTATTATTATTATTATTATTTATTTGACCGCACCCTCGACTAACTCCTTCTCGTAAATTTTTAAGCATTAAGATCTACTGTGTAAGGGGTTGAGTGAAATATTTATCTGACACAAGCGATCCTATATAATATTTAATTATATTATACTTCAGTACATTAAACCTAATAGTTTTATTTTTCATAAATTTTATATTAAACTATATATCCTATTAATGCAATAATATGATTTACCTCGTTTGACTGAAGCTTTTTGTTTTTGAGCAGGTTCATCAGCATTTTTAAATGTCTTTAAATCTCCACAAAACAGTATCTAAAAGTCAAATAATAAAATAAAACACTAAAAAATTTAATAAAACTTGTCAAAGAATATTGCCATAAGGAAGCTTTATTTATACCCATTATAGTTATACAGTTTAATAAGGACTTGTGTGTTAAAAGTTAAAACAGAATTTTAATATTTTATTAATATTAATAAACCTCATAGACCTAATCCATACCAAACGCCGTGCCAGATTATTATGGCAACGTACTAGACACCCCACCGATCGCCAATCCTATAATTATTTTTGCAAAAAACTAAAGATAGAATTGGCCACCTTCAGATCCCAATCCTTCAACTCCTACCTCACTTCCCTCTCTTCTCATGACAATTCCCTATGGAAGACCACCAGACATATCCTAAAACACCATCATATATCACATCCTCTCCGTCGAGGTGATGGCTCTTGGGCAGCATCTGACGAAGATAGAGCCGAAGAATTCGCCAAACACCTTTCCCTTACATTCACCTCTCATCCAGAATCCAATCCCACCCACACGTCAGCAGTAGAGGAATTCCTTAATTCACCCATTCCACTCTCCTTACCGCCTAAAGCAGTTAATCCTTCTGAGGTCAAATTCCTCTTACAAAAACTACCTACCCGTAAATCACCTGGATACGACCTCCTTACCTCTCAGATCCTTAGACAACTCCCTCCTAAAGCTGTCATATTCCTTACATACATATACAATAGCATCCTACGAACCACCCACTTTCCTCTTTTGTGGAAACATTCCACTATTATCCTGTTTCCGAAACCAGGCAAACCTCCCAACACCTCAACGTCCTACAGACCAATTAGCCTTCTTCCGATTCTCTCAAAAATCTTTGAAAAGATCCTCCTGAAACGCATCCTACCCTTTATAGAATCCCAAACTCTTCCTTCCCATCAGTTCGGATTTCGTTCACAACACTCTACAGTCCAACAAGGACTCCGAGTGGTTGATCATATTTCCGCAGCATTGGAAAGCAAGCAATATTGCTCGGGTGCATTTCTGGACATAGCTCAAGCTTTCGACCGGGTATGGCACGCCGGGCTTCTTTCCAAGCTGAAAAACTATCTTCCTCAGTCCTTGTACCTTGTTCTCCGTTCCTACCTCTCAGATCGTACCTTCCGAGTTCGTTGCGGTACTGAATTTTCGCATTGCTATCCAATTGAGGCAGGTGTTCCTCAAGGTAGCGTATTGGGTCCCGTCCTTTACATCCTCTTTACCGCCGATATCCCTGTCCATCCCGATACCTTCCTGGCAACTTTTGCTGATGACACCGCCATTCTATCATCCGACTCAGATCCCAACATAGCATCCTTAAATCTCCAAAACCACCTCACCTTGATTGAGCACTGGTGTAATAACTGGCGCATTAAAGTTAATGAATCTAAATGCCAACATATTACCTTTACACTCCGACGCAGTTCCTGTCCACCAGTACACTTTAATTCCATCCAGCTTCCTTACTCAGACACAGTCCGGTATCTTGGCTTTCATTTAGACCGAAGACTAACGTGGAACCCACATACTAGACTCAAAAGACAAGAACTCAACCGACGATACGGCCAGCTATACAGACTACTAAACAGAAAATCCAAACTTTCTATTGAAAACAAATTACTTATCTACAAGACAATACTGAAACCTATATGGACATACGGACTTGAACTGTGGGGGACAGCAAAAGCTTCTAACATCAAACGTATTCAATCCTTTCAATCTAAAGTCCTTCGAACAATAGTTGATGCTCCGTTCTATGTAAATAACAAAATCCTACACCATGACCTTAATATCCCATTTGTCCTAGACCTTATTCCAGAAAAATTCTCCAAATTTCACCAGAACCTTACCTATCATCCAAATCCCCTTGCACAATCTCTATCCAGCACCACCCATCCTTCCAATCCTCCTCGAAGGTTGAAGCGGCAGTGGCCCAGAGACCTTTTGTAAATAAGCATCTATTGGAGTTTTGGCAATGGCCAGATCCTCCACTCAAGCCCGAGTGTGTATGATTAGGTTAGTTCTTTTGTTTATATACATTTATTTTATTTTATTGTATTTATTTTTATTTTATTTTATTGTATTTATTATTATTAAGTTTCTGTATTATTATTTTTTTTTTTTATTGTAAATAGAGTGTGAGTGTGCTTTCTCTGAACACTATTATAAATGTCCTTGATGTGACAGAATGTAATATTTCTAAATAAACAAATATTAAAAAAAAAAAAAAAAAAATTTTATATTTATTTACACTCTTAATGCTGCATGTTAAAATTTAGTCTATATATATATTGTCTATATATATATATATATATATATATATATATATATATATATATATATATATATATATATAAAAATGAATGTATGTCTGTCTGTCAGTCTATTTGTCCTTGGTGCATTACTAAACCATTCATCCGATCGCCATAAAACTTTGGGAAGTTGTTCCGTACACTCCTGGGAAGGTTTCTGGTATATTACTTCTGTCTTACGATAATTTTACATATGTAAAAAAAATAAAAATGTAAATGTTTTTCTGTTCAAAACCGCAAAAAAATGTGTCGCTATAAGCTGTAGCACCAAAACGGTTTTACCAATTTTAACGAAACTTGGCTAAAGTCTTCCCCTTGAAACCCTTTTCATTTATGTGTATAACATACTTTCCTGAAAACAAGCTGAAAAATGTTACGATGAATTCAATATTTTATTTGACGATAACTAAAAAAGTACAAAATTTTTGACTGATTATACCCACATTTATTGGAAAGATTCCTGATTTGCCGACAAAATAAAAAAAAAAACCATCGAAATTGGACGATTTGTTGCAGAGTTATAAAGTTATAAAGATTTACTGCTTTCTCTTCAGAAAAGGGCATTTCCTTTTGCTTCCTCACTACCGAAGGTAGGCAAGGATTTTTTTTTTTTATTGATTAATCGAAAATTTTATAATTACTACAGTAATTGAAATTATCATTTGAAGAAGTTATATGATTCTCCTTATGTAGGTGAATACTATTATACGTTCTTTATATGAATTTTTTATTGTAGTTTTATAAGTTCAACTCAGACTGTTTCTGATGATTATGAATGTTCAATTTGAATCATGAGAAAAAAAAATCACTTACAGACAAATTTGTTTCTCAACTTTTTAAAAATGTCAGATGTCCTTTGCTATTAATCTACTCATATGAGCTTTCTATTTTCTTTCTTTTTCATTTTGCCACAGCAGCGCGTGGCCGGGTAAAGTTAGTAATATATAAAACTTGGCCTATAATCAATTGTTTTTAATATGGTATAGAGCTTTTAAGGATATTTTTTTGTAAATCAACAGAATGAAAGGAGGCAAATTTGTTTTATTCAAAATGTTTAATGATAAGGAGTCTACTCAAATAATTGGAACTGGATGTACCAAAGGAATTGATCCTTATTAAATATTGCACACATACATATCATTATTAAAAATAAATCCTAAAAAGCAAAATTATCAATTATCAAGCAAAATTGTATCAATAAACCTATGGGTAAAAGCAATTCCAAATATAATTTTTAGTTATAAAACTTTTATTAAACTTACCGTGTGAGCCCATCCAGCCAAAGGTCCATACAGTTTTCTAAAGTAATCTCCAATCTCATTGTAAATTTTATCAGTGACATTTTTTACAGACTTTAGATGTGGCATGTAACCATGACTTGCTATTTGAAAGACATGAGTATCCACCGGGAGAGCTTCCATGTGACCGAGTGACATGAGGCAGATACAATCAGCAACCTACAATAGAACAAAAACTGTATATGCTTTGAAAGTGAAAATACAAAATTAAATTAGATTTGAGTTGAAACATCTTCGATATTAAAATATTTTTCTTCTACAGAGCAACATGTTATTGATGGATAAATTATAATGATGAATGATAACATATTAGAACAGATATTCATATCTATTAATCAACAGAATATAAATTATGTAAATCTAGAGTAGTAAAAAGTTCTATGGAAACATTTATTTTTCATTCAACAATATAAAACTAGAAATAAATGAATAGAACAATTATTGGTCACTTAACATTATCTTCTAGGACTTAATATATTAGATTTTTTTTTTTATTGTTATTTTTATTCCTAAAAATTTGATTTGAATCTAACAAAATATTTTCTTTACTTAGATATTCTTCTCCTATATTTAAAACTAAAATTCTTTTATAGTTTATTTTAACCCATTTTCGTTAGGTACTAATAACAGTGAGAGGCAGTTAATCATTTCAAATTATTGAAGATACTTTAGAGGAAGAAATTTTGAAAATTCTGCATTTAAGGTCTGTCAGACTATAAGTTCGTAATAATAAGAATTTCGAAATAGTAAGAATTTCTAAACACTGTAAAATCTATTCTAACCTGAAACATTTTGCCCCCCTTCCAGCTTCATTTTTAAATTTAGAGAATATCTTTTAGCCAATATCTTATTCGAAATCATAACTAAACATTAAACCTCGAGAATACTTTAGCGAAACAAATTTTCAAAATTCTGCATTTAAGGGCTGTCAGACTATTGTATTTCAGTGAGACCAAGCTGATATTAAAGACCATTAAATTGTACAGTGATAACATAATTTCACTTAAAATTATAACAGCTGGTATTGAGAAATAAAAATGTAAAATTAATAATATGAAGTGGTACTTCCGGTTAAACCGATTTTATAAAACAATTTGCTACAACATCCCGAACATATGCCTTCCTTACATACATCATTTCAGTTTCCTCATTTGAGCTAGTGTATTCATATACCCACACACAGGCCCTTATACAAGACTTGTTTATTTAGACTTTGAGGACCTTAAAATGTGTGTTTCGATTGAAAACTCAGGTTTGAAATTTTTCACAACTGCAAAACTTACATACTTAATATTCCAAATATAGATAAATTAAAGTAAAAAATTTAGAGTTTGCTCCATATTTAACTAATAGATATTCAATGAAAACAAAATGATTCATACAACCGTACAAAAATGTAATAAACCATTTAAAATGCAGTAAAGAAAGTGGCATTCAAAATAATATTAATAATATTCGAAATTGTACCTTTGGACCAATACCTGGTAGTTTAATAAGCTCTGATTTTGCCTCCTTATATGAACATTGCCTTAATTTCAGGAGCCATTCTAAACCACCTAAAGTTTCTAGTTGTTTTGCTGATTGTTGAATAAATTTTGCACGGTAGCCAAATCCTGCTTTCCTCAGAGCAGCATCTACATCCTCACTAGCCAACTTCGAAATTTCAGGAAAGCTGTAATACTTTTTCCCATCATGTGAGCATATGAAAGAACCATAAAGTAAACATAATTTTTCAACCATACTAGATATCCTACAAAATAAAGAAGAGTACTATATAAATATTTTTCTAGTTGATAAAAAAATCGAATGAAAAAATTTTTATAAACCAAACCTTATAATATTGTTGTTAGAAGAACATATAAAAGAAAACAAATTTTCAACTGGATGTTGGTTTAAAATACGTATTCCATAACACTTGTCAGCTACGCTGTTAAACTTAGGATCCTTCTTCCCCCAGTCATCGTAATACTCTTCAAGAGGTTCTTCTAGTCTCAAATAAGACCGAATAAAATCCTCTAATTTGTCTTTAACAAAGTCAACGTTGCATTTATACAAGTCTGAATTAAAATGATTAATTTTTCCATTTATTTCTGGTGATTCGCTCCTCGCAGTATACTCTAAGTGTTCTTCAAACTGTCTCAGAGTCCAAACTACATTCAATACAACTCCTGTCCATTCATTACTAGAAGTTTCTTTCCATCTAAAACAATATTTAATTAAATAAGTAGCCTTTACAAAAATAAAAATTAAAGAATTTCTAAAGACATTGTAAAGTCTATTCTAACCTGAAACATTGGCCTCCTTCCAGCATCATTTTTAAATTTAGAGAACATCTTTTAGCCAATATCTTACCCGAAATCATAACTAAACATTAAACCTACAAGAATTATTAAATATTTCAAAATAAACAAAAACTATTTCGCGCCAGAAAATACAGGTTATATTGCGATTTCCAAAGAAGGCGAAAAGAGCAAGTTCCTAAACTCCGCGCTGAGATCATTGGTGATCATCGGAAATCCATCAATGGACTAGTGCTGAGTTCAGGAATCAAATCTACAATATAAATATAATTACAAATAACAGTGAAGAAAATCAACGCTTACTCGATGATTTTTTTTTTTTTATTTAATTAATAGACTTCAATGCCAAACCAAAAATATTGAGTTAGGAGAGTTTAATGTATTTCCAACAATCTCAAAAGTGGGCATGGTAAATGAAAGAATTAAATTAATAATATTGATTGTCTCTAGTAATGATAGTGATATTTAGTTTATATAATATATATAACATATTATGTTGTTTAATCTGTTGGTTCCTCGCGCGGGGTCATTACCGCGTATGGGGAGCGTCCCACGGGTGGCGGATGTGGGCATGGTCGGTGGAAATTCCTTGGAAGTTCCTCCCGGCTAAGTCCGATGGACTCGCTGACCAACAAAGAGAGGGGCCCTCCTTGCTGGAGGGAGGGAACCTCCAGACTTGCTGGAGGTAGGGGCCCACCAGTCTTGCTGGAGGGTGTGACGTAGGATTTGGTGGACTACTCACATATCTTTAGTTCACCAAACACCACAAATAGTCATGGATCTCCCTAAGGTAAAACGCTCATTATCCGGAGGGAAACTAGTCCCCCGTTCGGGTCTCCGGGTGGGGACTGCTTTAGGGGATTCATGGCGCATGTTGAAATATCGATTGGTGGTGTCAGCATCGAACCTTCGGGTTCGCTAAGACTTTTATTATTATTATAATCTGTTGGTTATTCAATTTACATGCTTTATGTTGTCTAACTCAACTTTTTTTGGAACTTAGGTCATCAATAGTGTAAAGTTTTCTCATGCACAAAAATATGTAAATATTTGTTTCCTGCCCATTAGGCACAAAATGAATTTTTTTATTTTTGAATTTCTAATTATACGAAAGGACCAAATAAGAAGAAGAATAAGTAGATAAATGGTAGCAAACAGGCTTTCTACTAATTCTAGATGAAACGTTGTAGACAAGTTCTACAAGAGAAGTTGTAGACAAATAATGTTATTTATTATTTTTTATCATTATTACTCTGTTCCTATCACAAGATAGATGAAAACCAAACAAGTGTGATTGAATGGATAAGGGAGGAATGAAAACGCGATGGTTTCCATTTCTTTCAGCTATCCAGACATGATCTATAGATTAATTTCAATAAAATACTAAGTGCTGTGTCAAAAATGACGAAATTAAACTTCCATTAATGCTCAGCGTAACTACTTCAAGGAAGGAACAGAATCAAAGACTTTGCCCGAAACCACAGAGAATAGAATACCCTTTATTCTATTATTAATCTATACTGTATGCAGGAGACAGATGTACTAATTTGGTTTCTCCTTCCTACTTTATATAATAATTATGTAATATCTTTGCATAGTATTTTTGTTGCATATTTTATAAAAGGCTGAGTTTTAATAGTAAATTTAACATTTGAGGAGGCCCGGGACAAAATAATTTCTGGGATCCTTGGTTTCTCTCCAGGACTTCGCTAACATAAAGAACTAATCGTTGGGACGAAAACGATGCGTCGTTTTTCTCATACAACTCTCTGTTTATATACATTGCTATTTTAAACCAAAGAGTGGTACTGAACAAAGCAAGGTAATAAGTAATAACAGCTTGGAATAAAAAATTATTGAAGGCGAAATATTATTAATGCTCCAGCAATCATTAACAATCACCAAATAAGATTAACGACTACATTATTGTTTCTATTACTTATAACATGATGTTCAAATATCACCAAGTTTGATAGTAAAACACTTAATGTTTAAAAATGATCTGTGTACTAAAATTAAGGTGTGTCCTAAAATCTTTGCATACCTGAACTATGACGCTTCGAATCAAAGAATACCTAATGCATTTTTTGTTTTATACAAAGAAAAGTAACTAATATTATTCCCTAAATAATATCCTAACCAATTTAACTTTAAATAAACATGATTTCCTAATAGGCAACAAACCCGTGAGCAATGTTTTAGGTTTATTTATTTTTTATTTTTAACGGCGGCGACCATCTGAGTCTGCCTTTTTAAAATTATTTTTCTTTAAGTCTAAATCAACTAAAACTATGATGACATATTCTTAAATCTTTATAAAAGGTAAAGTGAGTAGTTTTTTTATAGTTTACCTATATACAAGTAACATAACCCTAAAGGGGACCCTACACGGTCAATCGGAATTGCACTAATGACGTTCCGAATTGTCGTGTAAGGTAGTGAATGAAGTACTGATGGTGGTGCGCTGCGGATTTCCGAAATCAAAGGTTCATTCACGAGAAGTGATAGGTTAGATTACCTAGGCCTCATAACCATTATAAATTTCTGATTTTCATTATATGTAAATAATTAAATAATTTTTCATATCCCTTGTTTATATATTTAAACCATCTTCAACTATTTCTTTTAAATAGTCAAGTGGGCAACAAATTAAAAAAAAAAAAAAGAGGAAACTTCACAATTTACTTTAGGAAAAAAAAAACTTTAACGTTGTGTATATTTATCAGTTCTTTTCCCATTTTCCTCAAAAAATTTATTATTTTCGCAATACCTTTCCTTAATTTTTGTAAGTAGTAGACTTATATTTTACTAACTTTTGTCAAAACGATTTTCTATGAGACTAACCTTACTACTAGATAGGTTAGTTTACCTAAGTCTCGTTATTAAGTAAATAATTTCATAAAAGTAAATAGTTGTTTATATCCGTAGTCTATGTTATTATTAACCATTTTCAACTATTTTTTCTTTAAAAAGTCAAGTAGACAATAAATTGGAGAAAAAAAAAAGTGGAAACTTTACATAAGTAATGATCAGTAATGATTGAACGTGTAAGGGTCTTCATGATAAAAGCGATAGCGGGCAATCTTGGAACTTCTTGTGATGTTCATTCATGAATTACCGTGTAGGGTCTGCTTAAGATTGATTCTTAATCAAAAATATTATTCTCTAAATATCACAGTAGTCGTTAACACTCATAAATAATAATATATATTAAGTAATTAATAAGATTTATTATTTTGAGACACTAAACGAAAATTACAAAAAAGTTATTCCAATGAACAATATAGAAAATAATAGTAAAAGTGAATTTATACACTCCTAAATATTTGTTTAAAGTTTCAATTTAAATTTAATGTCACTTTCAATTATTTTTGGAACCAGGATTACACCATCAAAAACACTTTAACTTTACATATTTTACTAATTGAAGCAAGTTCTTCAATGCTCTTATCTAAATGTTTTAAATTTTGAATATGCTGCTATTGAAGAACCTAAGTTATAATACTTTTTTTTTCTTCAAATTTATGAGTCTTTTATCTTTGAACGGCTGAACTAGCCCGGACAGTACCCATTTGGGAATAGACTGCAATAGATAACAAATTTATTTAACAAAGCTCTTCTTCCATTATCTTTTAAAAGCATTCAATTTTCTATAATGTTATCACAAACTAAATATTTATGATGTACTTTAGCTTATACATTTTTATTCTTTGCTCAGAATAAACTCAGATTACTCCTCCACGGAGCTGATTTTTTAACGAACAAAATATGTAAAACCATATTATATTATAATTGAGTAAAAGATGTAATTAAATAACTATTGATATAATGGTGCTAAGCAAGCTTCTTAATTGCCAAGGTAGTTTTTGAAGAATAAATTATAAAATGATCCAGTCCAACGTTAATTTATTTCCTTTAAAATATTAATATGCACAATTATTCATTAAATTATATCGATGCTTAAACTTATGGTTCAAAATAATAAAGTCGCCGTTTCATGAATGACTCTTATTTTGTAATTATTGTATGGAAGGATCATTTAAGTCACAGACGGATCTAAGGGGGGGGGGAGGCTTTCGGGCTGAAGCTCCCCCCCAAACTGGTAAAATGTAACCAATATTTTACAGAAAAAAAATATTAAAAACTATCTCTTAAAGTATTCTTATTCGTGTAATTATATTTAATAGGACTTCAAGAACCACTTAAACACCATTTGATATAGGTAATTAATTTCTTTATTTTTTAAAAATTAATTATCGTTATATGTATATGAAAAAAAAATCTTTCGGGCTGAAGCCCCCCCAAAATTAAATCCTGGATCCGCTAGTGATTTAAGTTAATTATGGGTTTCAGTTTTCATCTTCTCCATAATTTACGTGTTCTTTGTATTATTGAACTTATATACAATTTAATTAACAGGAAAATATACAGTTAACACAAGGAATCATATAGTTATTTCTTTCGTTTTTGGGTCTCACCTAATCGATCGGTATAACTTAATTTTTAATTATTGTTGTCATTAGTTACTGCTTTCTGGTTGCTTGGTTAATTTTTGACAAGTGATATTTGTTATTAATCTAAAAAGTATTAGTATTTTTAAAAAAATATGTTTAATAATCATTCGAACCGAAGACATTCTTTAGTAGTTTATTTAATAAGAAAATTGTGTACGTTAAGACATTTTATTTTTAATAAGGTAATAGAGATAAATTAGATAGTATTTTATCCATAAATTATTCAAAGTAAGTCCGTTTTTCACTTTTATGCCAACAAAGTCTTTGTCAGGATCTTTGTTTCATTATTTTCTATGGACTTTTTTTTTTCTGTTTGCACCTTTATTTACTTACTCACCAGAAGTAATATTTTTCTTTACAAAGACTCCCTCAGTTTTTGGAATTACAATTGGTGAGAATAACAATAAGAACTGGTTTTCTCCCTTTTTCCCTCATCAAACCCAACCAACTTCCCTGCCAAAAGATAGTTGAGAAAAGCGCCACGAGGTGGCATTCGTCCATTTGTCCTTTCATCGGCTTCCATTTGCTTCATTCACGATTCCAGTTTTAAGCTCTATGTTTTAACGGTCGTTTCGGGGTGATGGTGAAGTCCATTTTGTAGCGGTATGTGTTAGTGCGGATTTGAATGTAAATTTAAATTTTAGTTGTTTAGTAAGAGTAGTTAGCATCATCTGAAGTGAGGAAATCATCTGCCGCTATGAATAACTTCAAGATATACATCGATGACGAGAATGCTCATATTAGAACAGCTAAAGACAAAGATTTTCTACAGGCAGGAAAGAGACCAGTACTCGGGCAACTTCAGAATACTATACCCTGTGATGGAATCAGTAATCTGCTCAAAAATAAAGAGGTACATACAGGTTTTACTGAAACAATTAAAGCCTTGGATATTAAGGAGAAGGAGAGTAGGAAATTCAATAATATAAAATGTGGCTATCTTTCACCATTAAAAGACGTTCAGAAACCTACTACCCACAAGAATATCGAACCTTTAAAAGTTTATTCTCCTATAGCAATTGATGTTGACCCCAGTAGTTCAGATAAGGAAAATCTTTCTCTCAAAGAAGAATCACAAACATCTGAAAGTAGTACTCCTACTAAAGCATCTGAAAGTATACCACAAAATTTTACCAGACTTGATATCTATGGTTGTTATTCTTATTATGATGCAATTTATAAATACATGAGGAAGCAAGAGGAACAATTTAAACCAAAATCATATTATATGAGAAGGCAGCCTGATATTAGCTATTCGATGAGAACAATTTTGGTTGATTGGCTTGTCGAAGTTGGAGAAGAATATAAACTACATAATGAAACTTTGTTCAAATCTGTTGCTTATATTGACAGATTTTTAAGTAGTATGGCTGTTGCGAGGCCTAAACTTCAACTTCTGGGAACCTGTGCTATGTTTATTGCGTCTAAATTTGAAGAAATTTTTCCTCCTGGAATTGAAGAATTCATCTACATTACTGATGATTCCTACACAACAAAGCAAGTGTTACGGATGGAACGGTTGATTTTGAAAGTACTTTGTTTTGATTTATCTTCACCTACATCTTATACATTCCTGCTGCATATAGCTGCGAAAGCTGACCTAGCTTCAAAGGTTTGTTTCTTAGCTATGTATATTTGTGAACTTACACTCTTGGAAGCTGATCCATACCTTGAGTTTTGCCCATCCTTGATTTCTTGTGGTGCTATAGCATTAGCTAAGCGATCCTTAGGTTCTGGAGAAGTTTGGCCAAACAAATTAGTTGATATAACAGGTTATACGTTAAGTCAGTTGGCACCAGTTATCAATCATCTCAATGAAACGCATCGTAAGTCTTTTACTCTTGCTCAAACAGCTATTAGACAGAAATACAAAACAGCTAAATACCAACATGTTTCTGATGTACCTTTCAAGCCACTGACAGTCCGTGATTCTTATGCTCTACCATAAAGTGATTATTTATCTCTATGTAAACTAATGACACCAGGACTCGCCTCTCGCCTTCTAATACTGTTAATTGTTTTATTTAATATTGAACATTGTTAAGTGTATTAGCCATACTATTTTATTACTAAAATGTATGAACTTTTCCCATTTGGGGGAAAATAATTGATTATTATGTATTATTGGTCATCAATACAGCATGAAATCAAGAGCCATCATCAATCTAAATTTAGATCGGGATAATCTATAGATGAAAACAGATTTTCATTTTGTGTTTGCTCTGCTAATTGTCTATAGCAGTTATGTCAAAATAAATTAGTTTTGTTAATATGATCAGAAGGGAAAAGAGGCAGTCAGGAATAATTCTGAACGATTTACTCAAGATATATTGGCCCAATGGGCGTACAAGAATTGAGAAAGAAGAAGTTCAACCTTCCTCAGAACAATCGATCTTGGCTGTTTCCTTAAATGGATTTCTTGATGTATTTATGTTAATATAACAAGAGACCTGTTAAATTTTTATATATAAATCATTAACTGGACACTCAAGACCGAGTAAGTTGATAATGGCAAGTTACATTGCTTCATTAAGTTGCCTGCTGTATTTGTTTTATTGTAATTAAATATATTTTTGGTATTTTAAGTATTATTTTTTTTTATTGTACCTATCTAAAGTATGTACATGTTTAGCTTTAAAGTTAATTGCCTGATTAAGAAACTTAGTGTTTATTCTTTTTAAACCAGCTAACATATAATGGCACGAGTTGAATTTTATTAAATATTCAGTTATTTCGATTTTATTATTAAACTGTTTAATTAGAGATTTTCATTGGAGGATTACCAGATTGGTAAATCTTGTTTGGTATAAAACAGAAGTCAAATCCTATATAAGTGCAAAGGTTACTAACACTATAATATTTTGTTTTATTTATAAATTCTGGGTTGGTTGATAATAATGTGATCATTAAATTAAAAAGATTTGTATTATTTGTTGTAATTAATACTAGAACAATTTTTGAAATTATCATATCTTTATAATTATTACATGTTAGGATTTATACAACCAAATTGTTTACTTTGTTATTATAACTTATTAACTATATATTCATCTTCTTATTACCTGTTTTCCTATTAATGGTTATTTAAAAATTTGAAGTTGTAAAACAAATTATGCTGGAGTGTTACTTTAGTTTATACTGGGAAGGTTGGGCAACTGAGAACAACACAATCATGAAATGATTAATGTTCATTCCAGATTTTTATTTTAAATTGCTTTAGTACAGAAGTGAATTATGTACCTTTTGAAATACTGTAATGAAAAATATTTTAAAGTTAATATATTTAATTATAGGAAACTTTGTCTCAGTAATTGTTTCTAATCATAATAAATATTTGATTTATTTATTCTATTATTCTAAATTAAATAGAGGTATTTCATAGCTTAATGTTTTACAGTTTTTAAACATGTTTTTAAATTTTTGCAAAGGGGAGGGGTGAGATTCTATAAACCAACATTCCTGAATGGAAGTAAGCAATATCACTTTCTTGCCCCAGATCTAGTAGCCATTTTAAAAAAATATATGGCATTTATTAGTATTTGAATCAATGTTTAAATATATAATTAGTTTCACTGTGCAAGCTAAAATATTTAGTTAATAACTCGTGGAAGAATAGTTTAACAATACTTGTTCCCATTGTTTTTTATACATTCATTAAATTTATGTATTTTTAAAATAATTGATGTTTAAAAGTAAATAAATATTTTACATTTGAAGTTGTATTTATTTGAAATAAAAACAAAATAGCATAACATCTAATATTCTTTGTTATGTAAATGCACTCATAATTATAAAAGTAAGAATTAACAGCAGTAGTTCTACAGAATTCTATCAATTTGCCTGGTTTCAAATTCTAATTTATCTATTCACACTCTATATTTAAATGTAAGTTAAACATTCATTTTGTTTTTAATTTATGAGCTTAAAAATTTTTTCCATAAATTGATTGTATTATTTTACATAAAGTTGGTGTTTTGAGGCTGTATTCTCATCTTCATAACTTAAACATAGATAAGAAATACAATGAACTAAATCACATATAAAATACTTTATTTTATTTGTGTTGAAATTTTAGCCTTTTAGACCTAAACATTGACCCTGATAAATCAAAGTTTTATTTATACTTCTACCATTGATTGTACTCTCAACCAATATTTATTTCAAATTAGGGATGAAAAATCATTTTTATAAAATATAATTAAAAAAGAAAAATGCATTTTATCCAATTTAAGACATTATCATGACAGACTTCAGGTAGGAAAAAAAATTATATGTATATATTGTAAATTTTTAATTTATTGAATTTATCAATTTGGAAAATATTTGTTATAGAAATAGTAAAAAAAAATAAATAAATTTAATTTAATACTTAAGTTATGATCTTAGGACTTCATACCTAGTTGGTCCTGTGAAGTGTTTCAAAATTTAATGAAAAGTAGCTTAATGAATATGTATTATTAATTATAGCATATAAAAGAATTATATGGATTTAAATTAGAAATGAAAATATATATAATTTTCTTAAGACTGATACTGTCCTATTTCTGGTTTTCCTTATACATTTATTCAGCGCCTGACTTCATTTACACACCTGATGCCAAATTGGCGATAGATTGTTTAATTTATTTGGGAATGCTGGACATTTAAGGCGTTGAATTAGAGACTGCTATAAATCAGTTATGTTGAGTTGGGTAGACTATTAGGTAATGTATTGTGTGCCATACTGCAGAATATTTATTTTAAATTGAAAGGCACAATATTTTATGACTGAGGTGGTCAAGAGTGTTAAGGTGTCACCTTATTCGAGTCAGATGCAGTGATGATCATTATCCAGCCTGGGAAAGTTGAAATTTATTTTTTACCTCAAATGTTCACGATACATTTTTTTCACCTATAAATCTAGTGTTTTAAATTAATGTAAAACTAGAAAGATGAGTTAAAACTCTGCAAATTATGATTTGAGAACAATCATTGAATAAATAAAACTGTAGAAAGATATTCATATTGGAAAAATAATGACTTGGTTTACACACAAATTTTATTTTTTAATCTCCAACATTATTCTAGGCTAGAATAAAAAAAAAAACAAACCTGTACCACTACAGCCCATGAAGGGTCTTGGGTTCAGTACTATTAAGGGAAAGCACTATTTCTAGGTCAAAGGTTGTGCAAGGAGGTGATTTGGAGCTGGTTTTCCCCTTAATCAATTATTTAATTAAAGGTACCCACTTTATAGAGGCTGGGTGTGCCCCAAGAGATTCTACGGACCCAGGACTAATGAAACAGATAAATAAATTTTCTGCCATGAGCTGAGGTTCGAACCTGGGACCTTTAGCATTGGAAGCTCAGTACCCTACCACTGAGCTACCCCATTCCCTAGGCTAGAACAACTTGGCTGTAATTTCTCTTCAACCCAATTTTGCTTAGATCTGTTACTTAATGCAAGAATAGCTAAAGTCAAAATTTCTTTCTTTTGGTCGGTTATTTTTTTTTTAAACTATGCCTTGATCATCTTGAGCTGTTTCGGCCATGCGAGGTCTAACAACTTTACCTTCAGTACTAGCTTTGATTCTAACGTCCTATGAGTTTCAATAATATTCATATTCGACATCGTAAATCTTCATGTTCCACAATTAAAGATTTTAATGTTTATTTCTATTGGTAGTTAACTTTAATCCTTAAATATGAAAATTTTATGTCAAATTTTCACTCATTTTATGTGAAATTATAAAAACATAAATATTTTAAATTTAATTTTGAAAAAAAGAAATATTTTGTGACAGTAAGATTTATGGAGGAGTAATGGGGTTTTCGGGTTGAAGCCTCCAAAATGGAAAATTGTTTTTTTTTATTGGTCCATATACGTTACTGTGAGTGATCTTAGGTAAATAGTACAATAATAATTTGTTCTGTTCGTTAAAGTACAGTGCATATACAGCTACTAAATATAACCACGTCTTTTGAAAAAAATTATCTCCAAAAATATTATTGTTCGTGGTATTACATTTTTAATAAGACTTCAAGAATCATTTAAACAACATTTCATATTGGTAGTTAGTTTTTTCTTTTTCTTCCCAAATAATTAACGTTGTATATATAATAAAAGCGACTTAGTAAAGAATGAATTCCTAAAAGGTTAATATTTGCTGTGCCAACTGGTAAACATCTGAGGGGTAGACCGAAGCGAAGATGAGAAGATTGCGTTAAGTCCAATCTGAAGGGATTGGGTTTGTATGGCGACCGGTGGAGGGAGGTGCTTCATAAGCGATTGGTGGTGTCAGATTTGAACTTTTGGGTTCGCTAAGCCTTTTATTATTATTATTATATAAAAAAACTTTCGGGCTGAAGCTCCTCCAAAATTGAATCCTTGTAGAGGATTGTTGCAGACCTAGATATTCCAGGATTATCGGAAAACGTCAGAGGATTTCAAATCGATATAGAAAACAGATCTAGTCAGAGGAATTGATTTAAAACTGTCTTTCCTCACTAATGTAAATAAACCGTTGTGAACATTTTTAAATAATTTAGATTAAATAATTTCTTTTGAACTGATCAACTGACTTTTTCTCTTTTGAATATTCTAGGTGATGATATTATTTTTAAAAAAATCCTTGCCCATGTTTTCTAATGAAATGTCTTCATCCTTTTTCATTTCCTAAATTTTCAGTCATTGTGATGCATTCAATTTATTTTCGCATCAATAAATAACGTCAAAATTCACAAAAACGTAATTAAAAGTTTAGATTTTAATCAGAAATGTAGTTAGTAACTGTTTGCAATAAACAGTGATTTATCTTTGTATTTTAAGGAAAATTCCATTTAATTTGAAGGGAATCTGGTCAGTCCCATTTAGTTTGGCTTAGTGATACTCTACTTTAACATATTTTTATACTCTTTAACACTACGATGTAGTAGAGGGGTCTCCAAGCTATGGTCCATGGGCTGGATCCAATCTGGCCCATGGAAGTTTGTTTGATTACATGATGACATTTTAAAACTATTTAAGAAATACAAAATTTAGCCAATCACTCAAACAAGAGGTAACTACAACCTTTAATTGTATGAGTTGTTTCTTTATGGTGTCCCAAAATTAACAAAAGATTTAAATTAAATAAAAAATAATTCTTCTTTTGTTTCCTTTTTCTTTGTCAATTTTACAGCTGATAATTTAGGGTTAATAAAAATGGAGTGTTTTCATTGTTGAAAAATATTTTTAAAATAATAAAAGTCTTGGCAGCAACAGTTCAAAAATTTTGTACAAAATATGGTCGGAATAGTAATTTAACTTAATCAACTGTGAAGAGAGTGGTTGAGAAAGTCGAGCTGATCTATTGGTGATGTTAAAAAACACTGGTCGTCCAAAAACAAGTCGCTAAATTGTCAATATCGAAGCTAGACAAGTTGGCCGCAAGACTTTCATTATTTTTAAATATTGGTCAACATCACCAATTGATCCAGTCTGCTTGATTCTCTTCACAGTTGATGAAACAATAGGTTTGTGATAACTAAAATATGTGATGATCGTATATTCTCATTATTTTAGTATGGATTTCGTTCTGATCTGGTTGTTGAGACTATATTTTTCCCTTTTTGCCTCCTAATACGGCGTCACGTCAATATACAATTTTACAAAATAGCTCATTATAGAGAGGATGAACTGCTGAACATTTCTTTACAGTATGAAGCTGCGATTTTTAATTTTAGAGATATTTTAAGCCTTTTGCAAAAACACTTCAATTAGTAGACTCCAGCCGACTTTATACGAGCGTTACACATTGGAAATCTGACGGCTCAATGTGACTGAACAGTAATTCACTCTACAAAATAGTGTATAACGCGCCTAAAGAAGTTTTCATTTAAAAAAAAAAAGCATTGGCACATTTGGCTAAACTATGTATTTCAAAACACAAGATCTGAAACATGAAAATACCAATAATCATCCACTAGATAAAAATATATATAAATAAAGCCAATAGACACGTGACTGAACAGTCTGAATGAGCTTCAGTTTCGGTGATTTGCAAGCATTATCTTACTTCATCTTACGGAACCGGCTTTAAAAAAAAAATTTAGAACTTTTAGTGCAGCGGCCTGCGGTACTTCGCCAATGGATGATCCTGTACTTATGAAATATGGAAGACAAATCAATATCCAAAATTAAGTTTATGATTCAATTTAATCAACGAATAACTTAAGCACTACTTAAGTACAACCTATCTAATCACTATTCTGACCTTATTTTGTACGAAATTTTCGAAATGTGTTCGCAAGACTTTCATTATTTTAAAAATATTTTTCAACAATAAAAACAAATTGTTCACTCGTATAACGCTCCATTTTTTATTAATCTTAAATTATCAGCTGTTGAATTGACAAATAAAAAGGAAACAAAAGAAAGAACTGTGTTTTGTATTTAATTTAAATCTTGCGTTAATTTTGGGACACCCTATATAAGAAAGCTCATTTCACAACTGTAGTATCATTTATAAAACATTTTTCCATCACAAGCCACGACCCCACGAGACTTAGAGATATAGCCTGCGGGCGACCCCTGGTATAATGCTAATGCTATTGTAACTGATGGATACCTACTTGAATAACAATTATTGATCTATGAATAATTTTTAAGATTTAACTACAAATAATTTTCATAAAAAAGCCTATTCAAAGAATATATGTTAATTGGCAATTCATTATATAAATTTTATAATATATTCACTAAAGGAAATAGGGTAACCTCAAAGAATAAGTAACACAGATATTTCAGTAGATTGTCTTTATAGTATATTTGACATTTAAATGGAAAGTCACTGTATATGATAAGTTTTTTTTTTAAATTTTACATTTGGTTTTGTACTACTGAATCAGTATAATATATTATTATTATTTATATCTTTATATACATTCGAAAGGATTAAAATAGGCCAACTTTTCAAGAAAATAGTTTGTTTTCTATTCATTAGTCATTTCTAGACTTTCATATCCTTTTCTGTTAGGTAGATAATCACCATTTCCTAGTGTCGATAGAATAGATGCATGTATAATATATAATATATGGTGTCAAATACAGGTTTACAGATAAGAAGATTTACAATAAATTTTAAATCAGGCCAATTTACAAATTAAAAAAACAATGCAAAGCAATATTTAAAAAAAATCATCACAATATATATAACGACACTAACTTTAGTACTAATTAAATGGACATTTACAATTTAAAAACAAAAAAATTGAAACAATATACAAACACAAACTGATCCAACAAAGCCTAACATTATTAATAGTCTCTTAGGTTAGGTGTATTATAGGAAAGACAATAGTAATCTAAAAGTCTTCATGTAACACATATGTACATTAATGTTATAAATATATCTAGATAGACGTTTGGAAGAAGGTCCTTATGGATTTAGAGCTAGTTATTCAAGATATTTTTCAATATGTTTGGTCGTTGTGAAGGCGATGAAATGATATATCACACCGATCACAAATATGGTTAATGTTTGAATTAAACAAAAATAAATAATTGAAACAATCTTGGGCTGAAATGAACAAAAAAAAATATACCTTACAATTACAAAACACACAATCCAAAGTATTTTACGTCAGGCAGTGGGTTTAAGAAACTTACAATTTTTTCTTCTTTAAATATTTACATTATTATTGTTAAAGAACTGCAATAATATACAATAAACCAATAAATAAAATCTGACTGGGTTCTACCCTTTGTTCCAAGTATAAACTAATTAAATATCAGAAAAGTATTGGGGGTAATATACACGTCATATGTACAAAATGCAAAGAAAATAAGTTAATTTTTAATATCTTACATAAAAAAAAAAGTTCTAAAACAATTTTAAATACATAAATTACATACTAAGAACATAGGGTACTTAAAGTTTATAAAAAATAATAAAAAAATAAATCTATGAAATTATAAAGAGAGAAAAAATGAAGATATCACGATGGCATCTTAAAAGTAAAAAATAATACTTCAATTTGTAAATACCTGTTAATTTCCATACAGAATACTTGTGATTCAAAATTAAATTAATAAATATGGTATAAAATTACAAGTTGCCTTTAAAAAATATAAATTTACAGAATATGATGGCTAAGGTTGTACCATTCGCTTAAAACATATCTAATCAGACTCTTCCGAAAATACTGCGGTCTACATCAAACATAACTTCGAAGAAACATACAGTATTTGTACGTTATGATAAAAAAATTAATGACTAGCAATATATGGATTAAGACATGTTATGGCCTCTGATAATGCTACACAGTGCGATTTCAACATTAAAAGAAATGAAAATTTACAAATTATGATATCCTGGTAACTTCATGACTTAATAGATAAAATTTAAAAATTTGAATGTGACCTAAAAATACATTATTTTAGAAATGTTTGAGTAAATATAAGATAAAAAACAAAACAATGATAAACAAAAGAATGTCAACATAATTTTGAGGTTAAAGACCTGCAGAAACCTAAACCTCCTAAATTATGGTATATTTTTTATAATTAAAAACCAAGAAACAATATATACATACAAATAAATCTATAGGCATTTGTGTACATTCATAAATAGATATTTTGTTGACAATACTCATTAAAAAAACAAAATAATGAGACAAATTCAAACATTAACAAATTTGTACCTTTCAGATAAGAATGATTGAATCTAACTAAAATTTAAATAAATTTTGGAACTTTTAAACTATCCTGTAAACAAATTGTATTTGTAAGGTAACATTATTTGACTTGTAATAAACTATTTTATTTATTTGTAATATAATTGCAATAAAGGTAATTTTGAAAACTTTCTTCAAGATATTAATAGAGATAAAGCCTTGGAGATATTTTAGTTAGATCTGATCTAGTACATGTTAGATCTGAATAAAATTTTTAAAAAGTGATGTGATAAGTAGCAAAAATTTGGAAAATAATGTCATCAGCAAGCGAATTCATTTGGGTGGATATAATTGACAACATTTAAATTTTATAGACACGGACTTAATTCAAGCTACGCAACTGTTGTCAGGTGGATATCGATATAATTACTTAAGAAGAATGAAACTAGTTGAATCAAATATTTAAATATAAATGTCGTAGATTTTCAAGTTATGCATTTAGATATAAACATTGGCAACAAATAGGTAAGTAATATCCAAAAAAGCGTAATGATATGACCTCCCTTCTACTTTAGGATAGTTTACAAGTACTCAAATTTGTTCTTTTCATGTTTGAATGATTGCCTACGAATAAATAAAATTATAACAAATTTTTGGCAAGTTACATGCATCACATTATATACAAAAAAGAATATTGCTTTAAAAAATTAACAATTAGTTCTATCAGAGACCACAAACAATAAACAACTATCAATTTAATTAATCATAATAAAAATACATATACACAAATATATTTTACCAATAACTTACAAACATATCACATATAAAAAACTAAGATTTTTATCAACTTTTTTTTTTTAATTTTCTTTTCTTATTACATAATATTTTTATGCTTTCTCTCATATTCAGATACACAATAAAGATAACAGGCATTCATCACAGTTTTACAAACCATCTGTTACATTCAAAAATATTTCCTATACTTTTAAAAATTAGGCCTAGTTCAATAACTATAATCGCATTAAATCTATTCTAATCACTAACCGACATTACGATGTGCTGGGTTTAGACACGACAGATATGATAGAGAGGGTTTTGGTACAAGTTTGCACAAGGCAACTAATAAACTAATCACCGTCCGTTATTTTTCACAACTTCTTTCTCTTTAAAAATACAATTTAAAAAAAAAATTATATATAATAATCATTCCCACAACCTAAGCACAATATTAAAATAACGATAAATGAATCTGGAATAGGCAATATCTCATTTATGAGAGGTTATAAATGCCTTGTGCAAATATTTTAAAAAGAATTTTTTTCTTTACGAATCGTTGCATAGTTTCATTGTTATCGTTACCAATTTAATTAAAATATTAAAGCATTCTTACCACATAAAAAATTATAAGCACTCTGAAGACTGAAATAGCGCACAGATGTCAGAATAGTACTTTTTATTTGATGACAACTGAATGGCAAATGAGCAGAAAAATAAAAATGAAAAATACGACAGGCAAATCTTTAGGTATTGAATCTCAAGAACCCATCGTTCATTCTAATGATATAGACAATAATTAAAGGCGATGAACAAGATATAAGATGAATTTATAGGAGATGTCCCACTTTTATAAATAGAAATATAATTGGAAATCAAGAAAAAAGTTATAAAGACTATATAAACTATGTATATATTTTTTCATATTTCTCTGTGGCTCAAAGATTTTTTTTACTATATCTTGATTTAACTTTTAATTAAATTGATTATTCAAGAATTTTGATTTTTTAAATTAAATCCGTTTCCTATTTACAGGTCAGAAAAGGAGGCTGTTTTTAAGAAACATACAAGTTTTTTAATAAAAAAATAGCATCCTTGAACGAGATATGTAATTAATGTACATGACAAATCTCAGTTCATTTAAAAAAAAATTAAATAAATTAATAAGAAATTAGAAAACAAACTTATAATAATGATGGTGAGATTCAATTTACAACTTATTAAGCATACAGACATTTTTATAAACAAACATTTTTTACCTTTTTTTTAGGATGTCCCTTTATTGTTTTAAGTTTAGAAAATAAAATCTTATTGAGGTATTCATGTCTCTTTCTATTGATAAAGAGTATTTTAAGACTTGAAAAAATATCACAATATACATTTTAAGAACATTTAAGAATCGAACAACTTTTTATTAACAGTATTAGACATTACTTATTCAACATACAGCCTTGAATTATATTTATTAGATTGTCTTAACAATTTGAAAACGTAACTAGCCGAATTCTAGACACTTATTTATTGCTGGAACCTTATTGGATTCGAGATTCAAATAAGATTTGACCCGTCTCATCTTGGAACTGAATGTTAAACGGCGGACAGCGGAGGAATAGAGGGAGAATAGGTGATAACTAGTAAAACTATCCTAGACTCTATAACAATTACTTAGATAGCATATGTATTCCAATATACTTTCGTTCAGAAAAATTATTATTTTTTTCGTTTTGAATAAATTGAACCTTACAGACTTTAGGAACTGGAATGTGTTCCTAACCGAACCCCTGTATTCGTTAGAACCATCCCTAAACACTTTCGGACCCGTATTATTATTAATGATACTCACATTTATTTACAATGTTTTTTTTTATTTGGTTTTTTATACATTAAAAGTTTCATGTCCTCACTTTTCTTAATTTTATTTTTGTATTTTTAAAAAGACCACTAAAATTTTTTTTTTGTATTTTTATCCCATGTATATATACTTTTTTTTTGTTCAATTTCTTTGAATTTTGGTCCTGTAAGTTGCGACAGTGTATCCAACACTCTACATAATTGCTACTTTAAGGCATTAATATAATAGATTGCTGACGTTCTGATATTTATATATATATATATATGCTAATTTTTTCTATTAATTCAAAAAATTATAATTTTAAAATTTAATAAACAGATGATATTAATATACATGTACACACCTAGAAATGTATATATTTAATATTTGTTTTTCATATTTTTTTTTCTAGTTTAGTCTTACGATGATGATTATTTGAATGATATAGCAAATTTCTACTGTCTGAATAGGTTGAAAAATTAAATGCTTTCGTTTAAAGCTTAGGCAACATTTTTAAAATATTTTCTTACTTATATTAATTTTTTTTTTTTACAAAGTAAATTATAAACAATAATATAGATAGGCAGAATTAGTAACTAGTCTGAAAAATATTGCTTATATGGTTATGCTTCACTATCTCAAAACTAAGGGTCAATGTCCCTTATTGGTTGACCTTCTTCGAGCCCCTCGGTTTGATACTCTCCGATATCTGCCACATCGCCTCTTCGCAAAGGCAATCGTCAAAGTTGTTGAAGAAAGCGATAATTCTTTCATTCTTCTTGAAACTGTACGTCCTGAAAAAAAAAATGTACACTGAAATTTAGTAATAAATTGACTTAAATAATAAAGGTTAAAATAAATTATTAGAGCTTCACATAACCAAGGAAGAGCTTAATTCAAAAAGGAATTACTGCAAAAAAAAAAAAAAAATAATACCGAATATTTAAAAATAAATATACTTCTTTCAACTTCCGTGGCTCTACAGCCCTTGTAGGGCCTTGGCCTCCACAACAACGCCTCTCCAATCCTCTCTATCAGCCGGCTTCTCCACTATCCAATTCCCATCTTCTGCAAAGTGTCCTCCACATCATCAATCCATTCAAGTCTGGGCCTTCATCTCCTTTTGCCTCCTGGTTTACCATATAATAGTCTTTTTGGTTATCGATCTTCACCCATCCTTTCTAAGTGCCTAAGCCATGTTAAATGGCTTGATTTAACCTAAGTGACTATCTGGTTCTTTACACAGTTCTTGGATGTCTCTATTATTTCTTATTTTCCATTGGCCATTTATACATATCGGTCCAAAGATTTGCCGAAGGATCTTCTCGCATTCCTGTGTCAGGATCCATGTTTCACCTGCGTAAGAGACAATTGGTCTCAAGATAGTCTTATAAACCAGTAGCTTTGCTCTCCGTGAAGGGTTTTGAAAATGCAAAAAGACATCTGTTGCCTGCTGTGATTCTTGCTTTAATTTCTACAGTAATGTCATTTTTGTATGTCACTAAAGCTCCAAGATATTTGAAACTGCCAGCTTTCTTAAAAGTATGGTGAAGCAGTTTCATGCTATCCTGTCCCTCACCTTTTGAGGATATCATATATTGGGTTTATATGATAAAAAATAAATATATGTATATATTATTAGTTGTAGGTTTTTTTAAATTTTTTTATGGCAACAATGAATATACTTGAAAATATTTGTAAAAAACAATTGATTATTTGTATACATAAAACATGAGGGAGACAGACGCCCGATTCATAAAAAGAATTTTGTAATAAACTGAAAAATATTTTTGATTCCTTAGTTTGTACAGCCTCAAAATAAAAAGTGCAATTCTTTCACAGTGCGACTAGCTATGTAAAATGCTATTAAAATATTTTCTATAAAATATATTTATACTTCTAATTATTGAGTATATTTTTTTCAACTTCATCGCAGATAATGTGATAAGAATATCATGAGAAAATGGAGTGGTGCACATGAGAGATGAATGAATCATTAAACCCGAGGATATGTTACTATATATTATTTTATCTTTGAATATAATAGTTGAGTAAATACTTCAAGGCCTCAGCCTTGCCAGTAAGTCGATTTTTTCTATTTTCTTAATCAATTTTAGCTTAAATATTTTATTCATTCATGTAGTTTATTTGTTACTAATTTTAATTTTTTTTATTTCAAAATATAAAACAATATTCTCGCCCCCTCAATATTTTTATTGGAAGGACGATCACCTTCTCCCTTCCTTCCAAGTCTGTGCCCATGAAGCTTAATATTTATAATTCCTGGTTGTTGTCATTATAAAACACTAAAGATGAGACAAGTTTAAATTCAGTTTTCAATGACAAAGTGTGCTAGGTATAGGCTGTTATGCTTTTTAATGAAAATATTATGGCATAACTGATTTTAAATAATTTATAACTAGTTGGCCCTTGCGAAAAATTCGCAGACAATTTTGTTTAATGAAGAAATAGCAAAACAATATTCAAATAAGTATTTCCTATGTATTATATATTATATAATATTTTTTCCTTAGTTTATTACAATATTCCATTAAATAAAATAGACCAAAATATTTGTAGAAATTGCTTTGCTAGGACCTATTTTTAAACGCTTACTGGAAAGATAATAGAAGTAATATAGACAAAATAATGCTCCGATCATGGGATATTCTAAATCATTACAAAAAATAAAATGTAACAACAACCAAATGTCTTTAAGAAATAATATATCAGCCAGCGAAAAAAATGTAGTAGACTATTCTATTCCTAAATGGAATATCTTTAAATCAGAAGACATTATTAAGTATACCAAAACTAATTGACTGTATCTTTGTTAATAATTCGAGGGTATTTTGAGCTGCAAAATACAATTCTCAACTCTCTTCCTTCTTAAAAAAAATATTTCAATACACTTTGCTCCTTCTGTAAATACAAACTGTTTAAATTTTACATATTTCTAATCGGTTTTTACAATTTTTTTGTTTGTTTTGTAGGTAATTTAGAAATCTTTCTAATTTTCATGGGTACAATCAAGAAAAAAATGCATACTTTTTAAGTTATTCGCAAATAAAGATTATTTTCCTCCATAAGTTTTTTTCCAGAAATTTCGGGGGGATGGGACTATTTTTTGCCTGTGAAGGATAAGAATATCTTCAAAATGAGTGGTCAATCATTGGATTTGATGAAGAATTGATGAAGTTATGGCACACCGACAAAAAAACACCTTTTAGAAATAATATATAGGATTGTAAGTAAAGAATGTTCTGAAGATTGGGAGTGTTGCACCAAAATATTAACTAGGAATTATAAATAATTTTTTTTTTTTTTTATAGCAATGGAATCCATGAGTTAGAAAGAGATCATGAGTAGAGACCTGATTTTTGTGGAGAAAAAAAAAGAAAGAAGTAAAACTGACAGATTAAAAAGTCAAAATCAATTTATAAAATTGTGTATATAACACCCTTAAACATGTCAAAATCATTATAAAATTTGGAAACACTAGATATTTAATATATTTATTCATACTACATAGATACGTCCACTGAAGGGTTAAATAAGTTTTAAAAAAATAAAAGAGAAAAGAAAAACATACCCTTTCTTAAACCTTTTCATGTTTTCAACAATATTGAACTGCTGCCACCTCTTAGAAAAGTTAATGACGTTTTCTGACAGGTAGTCGCTGTTCCCTATGTGGACGAAGGTGAGGTCCTGAAGGACGAGCCCGCTAAAAACATGAGAAAGCAAAATTGTAACTAAAATACAAAATATTGAAATCAACTAATGAGTATTCTATCAACTAAATTTCTTGTAGGTATCTAAAGTCGTATTGATGTTAAAACATATTTTGTGATTATGAAAAAAAAAATCATGTGAGGGACCCAAACATTAAGCCTGAAAACATTGCCGAGCTTGTGCAAATGGTTTTATACGCTTGTGTACGACACATTTAGGGCCATAGCAATCTCTTGCACTGATTGGGTGGGATTTTGATCGACAATGGCCTTAACATTGCTTGATTCAATTTCCAGAATGAACTTTGGCAAACCAATTTTGACAGGTGCGTTCTGTTAATGCATCGTTCCCATTAACATTGCAAATTTTTCTATGAGCTTCTGCAGCACGCATACCTTTTTTAAAATAATATAACAAAATATGCCGATAATGAATGATATTTTCTTCCATATTCACAGTGCAATAGCAAACACGATAATAAGCTAGTTTAAACAAACTACGATAGATAAAAACAAACTGTGTTACATGAGTTCACTCTTGGGCTTTGAACTAATCACAGTTGAACAACAGTTCTAGTTCTTACTGTTTTGTTTTTCATATAAAACTTTGATATCTTGATTTTTGATAGTTAAAATAAAAATGTCAGACCCATGAGTTTCAATTTATTGAGATCCAGCTGCATTCTTAATAATGTGAAATGATTAACGTTTTAAAATAAACCATATTGAAGGTACTTTAGAGGAAGACGTATATGAGCATTGGGCATTTAAGCCCTGTAAAGTGACATCAACGGGTATATTAATAATTGATATTGATATTAAAGACCACTTAATTATACAATGATACACAGAGTTTAATCAAAATCGTTAGAGCCGTTTTTGAGAAAATTGTGAAAATATGTTTCAGTGTTGATATAAAGTGGCACTTCCGGTTAGCCGATTTTAAGGAAAAAGTTGCCGTCACATCTAAGGCATATACCTATCTTAAATACATATCAGTTTCGTAGGACTTTTCGTTTTTGAGCTAGACTACTAACATACAAACACACAGACCATTTTTCAGGATTTGGTTATTTGGACTCAGGGTACCTCAAAACGTGTAAATCCATTGAAAACTCAGATTCAAAAATTTTCTTGATCGCAATACTTACACTTACTATATATTACATATATATGTAAGTAAAAATTATACCACTAGTTAGGCTCTGAAAAATTGTTTGAGGTGAAAATTCAGAGTAAGAAGTAATAAAATAATAAACATGAAAAAAATCTGTATATATTACTGATATATGAGTCAAAAAACAACTACAAATAATTAAATAATTGTTTACATAAAGTCGCAATAGCCAACATTCCTAAAGATTGGTTTTGATTAACTTCAGTAACCGTAATACAATGTATTATAAGTCCTTTTAATTCAATATAAAAGCGAGAGACCTGAGCTGAGGTGTGGGTCATTATAGATGAATCTTATGAAGCTATATTTCATTCTCATTTCAATTTATTCAGCATGGACTTCTGACATTTCTAACAAAAAGACAGACAAACATGACCATAATTACATTTCACCTGAGATAAGACATCTTATCGTACAAAAACGAAAAGCTCGTAAGATATGGCAAAGAACTCGTTACCCATCTGACAAACACAAGTTTAACAAACTAACTCGACAACTTCATGATGAAATAAGACGTTCAAAGACAGAAAATTTTGATAACTTCTTGAATGGTTAAGCAATTTGTGAGAAACCACTTTGGAATATAACCAAACGGATTCTACAACATCATGATGTCTCATATCCTCTCAGACATCATAATGGTTACCATATGGTTTGATAAAATTTGACATGAAGGATTGCTTTCCAAACTTAAAATTTTACTTCCTCTGACTTACTATCTAATATTACTTTCATATCTAACGGATAGACATTTTGTAGTAAAAGTAGGGACAGAACGGTCTGACATTAAACCTATTAAAGCAGGAGTACCTCAGGGTAGTGTCCTTGGACCAATATTTAATATATTCATGTCTGATCTACCGGAACACAATGACACAATACTGGCTACTTTTGCAGATGATAACGCAATCCTAAGCTCAGATAAAAATCCTGTTCGAGCATCTACCACTCTTCAAAATCATCAGAACGATATTGCAGATTGGGGCACAAGGTAGAAAATTAAGATGAATGAAAAAAAAAGTGTGCATGTAGTATTCACTCTTAACCATAAACCTTCACCTGAAATATATTTTAATAACATTAAAATCCCAACATCTGACGTAATTAGGTATTTAGGTTTTTACCTGGACAAAAGACTTACTTGGAGGACTCACATTAGACAAAAACGAATAGAATTAAACAGACGATACGGTCTTTTATCCAGATTACTTGACAGACGTTTAAAATTATCTTTAACTAACAAACTAACCCTTTATAAAGTTTTACTTAAACCAATTTGGACTTACGGCATAGAACTGTGGGGTTCTGCTAAAATTTCCAACATTAAAAAAGTTTAGTCCATTCAGTCAAAAGCGTTGCGAAGGATAGTTGACGCACAGCACCGTTTTATGTCACAAATGATACACTACATAAAGACTTAAACGTACCTACAATTTTAGATACTGCAAAAGAGAATTACAATAACTTTCACCAAAGACTGACATACAACATGAATCCTCTAACAGAAATTCTTCATCGTACAAGAAACCCGTACAGCCCACTACAATGATTACATAGGTATTGGCCAAGAGACCTGCTGATCTGATTTATATCCCGGATGTGATGGGAAGCTGTGAAGCTGCCAAAATATTTGCTCATTGCAAAGAAATTTGCAGATTGCAAATTTAATATAAAGTTCCACATTTTTGTTAGTAATAAAATAAATTTCAATTTAATCAGTCATTTCTATAACTAATATAGAAATAGAAATAATGCCAAGTTATCAAATGATACTCACATGTACGGTATACAGGGAGGTTGAGTTTCAGCTAGGGCCTGGCGATAAGCACGGAAACTGGAAGAACTGTCTATGAGAGCACAATATTCCTTCAGCCCTTCCGTGATATGTTTCTGCCATTCGAGCCGCCTGATCGGGGCAGAGTCCAACGCCGAAAGGAGGGCGAGATACGAATTGAAGTTGTTGATCTTCCTCAGGTGCTTCATGATTTTGATGAACTTCACCACGTACCGCTCTCTGTCTTTGGCATCGTTCTGTTCCAATATTCTTGACCTGGCCCTGAAATAATAGAAAATATCTTTCTGTCATATAAATAGTTATACTAAAAATTTATCAGTTAAAATATCAATCATCAAATGTACGATAATATGGCAGCTCAAAAAAATTAATTCCTCAAGATTTTGTAAGGTAAAGATTTGATGAAAACTGCACATTGAAAATTTGACATGGTTAGAATTGGTTACCTAGCAGCAGTAGAAAAGTAAAAAATTATTTGCAGAGAATTAAATAAAATACTTTTCATGTAAATTCAGCATATTAGATTTATGTCTCATCTCATGTTTAGGGAAATGTTAAACACTTTTTTAAGTGAGCCTATTTTCACTGTTAGTAAACTTAAAAATATATATATTTTTATGAGGGAGTCTTTCTGGACGTTGAACAGGCGTTTGATAGAGTTTGGCATCCGGGACTGATGTACAAACTCCGTAAATTCCTACCACCTACATACTTCCTCATTATCCGTTCCTACCTTACTGACAGATACTTCAAAGTCAATCATAACAATGCTTATTCATCTCTTTTTACTCAGATTGCCGGTGTTCCTCAAGGTAGTATCCTAGGTCCTATCCTTTACACAGCTGACATCCCAACCCAATCCAACACTTTCATCACCACCTATGCCGATGACACATGTATTTTATCAGTTAATAACGATCCATCTATTGCATCCCAAACTCTTCAATCAAACCTCACAAGTCTTGAAAAATGGTGTCAAAACTGGAGGATTAAAATAAATTCCATTAAATCCCATCAAATTACCTTCACTCTTCGTTGTAAGCCTATGACTTCCTGTCCTACAGCATCCTTCAACAATAGCCCTCTTATCCCTGTCGAACAAATCCGAACTTAGGACTCCACCTGGACAAACGACTCACTAGGAACCCCCATACCAGACTGAAATGACTAGAAACCGCCTGACGTTTTCGACTACTGCAGCACTTAATAGACAAACGCTCTAAGCTTTCAATCAATTACAAACGACTCATATATATGACAATGATAAGACCTATTCGGACTTACAGAATTGAGCTTTGGGGCTCCACTAAACCATTGAATTCCTCTCGTATCCAATCCTTACAATCCAAAATCCTTCATAAAATCCTCAACGCTCCTTACTTTGTCACAAATAAAATCATCCATAAAGATCTTAATGTTGCATATGTTTCCGATTTGGCCCAATCTAGATACCTATCCTTCCATAACAAAGTGCAGAATCATCCGAATCCTGTCGTTTCAAACCTTGCTTTCTACTCGATCCGTGATAACCCTCCGAGGCGTCTGATAAGAAGATGGCCTCGGGACCTTCTAATATAGAACTTTAATTTGAGTTGTACCAATGGGTAGTTTCTCTTCATGTTGTACATGTCATGTCATTTTCTATGTAATACAGTTGTAAATTTCATTAAAAAAAATTAAAAAATTTCACAACTGTGTATACAACTTATGAACTCATGCATAAATAAGTCTTAAATTGCTAATAGATAGTAAAAATAAATAACAGCTCGCTAACCAATAAGACATTTTGTTAAAATGCTCGGTGAAACGAGTTAGGTTCGGGCTCCTTTCCTCATTCTGCTCCTGCGCCCAGATGAGAACTTCGGGAATTTCGATCTTCATGAAAAGCTCCGAGTCTAGGAGAGTCATCTGCTCAGCGACATGATCTGATTTGAAATCGATGAGGCACGATTGCCTGAAGCAAAACAAAAAATAAAAATAAAAACAATAGTTCAAAATAAAATAAAAAGGATGAAAACGTTTTACATTCATACCTGGTGTAGATGTTCTGCGACGAAAGGAGGGTGTTCATCGAATAGTACAACTGTTTGTTGTTGTATTTGTCGAGGATGATTAGCCTGAGCACTTTAGCCATTGTCAGGTCTCCGCTTTCAAGAAGATGGTAAACGAAATCCATTAAAGTTTTTAACAACGCATCTTCCAGGTCGGAAACCCTAAAGATATCAGTCATTTTAAATATATTATCAAAATTTAAATAAAGAATGAATGTAAGCATAGAGCCATAATACCTAATGCCCTTGATTGTGTTGTTATAATTCAAATAAATTTATCATCCCTCAAAACTGAAATAAGTGACTATATTATGAAAGATTTTTTTTACTTTCCTATCTATACCAGGTAAGGAAAGTATTGTGATCGGGTCAAATTTCTGATATACGGTTTTCAAAGGATCTATACGTTTCAGAGCTACCTAAGTCCGAAAAACACATTTTGGTCTGTCTGTGCCAAGATTATCTCGAAAACTAGTGGACCGATTTTGTTGCTTATTTTTTTATTTTGCAGGGTTTTGACTACTGACTAAAGGTTCAATATTTACTCTACTTTTAAAAGATATTGTTTTGACAAAATTGGGCTATGGCAAAAAGTTTTTGATTAGCAATATTAGATTGCATTGAATTTTTTACGCTGATCTTCCACAGACTGGTTTGCATTGCTTTAGTTTATCAACGAAATCGTACACAAATCTTTTCTTTCATCAATTTTCAGGAAAATAAATCAATTTTTTTTTTTTTGTTAATGGACATATTTAAAGATATAAAGTTTTTTCTAAAATAGGTAGGAAAGTCGTGTGAGAGGACACACCAGATTTTTTAAAAACAATTTTAAACAAGAAATGAAAATTGAATTTTTCAAATATGAAAATTTTATACAATATTTGAAAAATTCAATTTTCATTTCTAAAGTGTACTTCCTTAGTGGCTTTATGCAATAAACCAACGATATAATAGATATTAGAAAATCTAACAAACTGCTTCCAATAAAGAGCATTTATAGCATACTAATCAGAAAAATCAAGTATTTTTAAAAATACGTAAAGTATGTTTTGGATAAAGATTTTGAAGACTTTCTCATATATTTTTTGCTTATGTACCTATGAAGGTGGTCCCATGTTATTCAGCATTGTGTGATCGTCTACATTCATCTTTTTTTGGTCCGAATATTCTTTGTAAAACTCTAATTTCAAAAAACTAAAGATGCTGCTCTTATGTTAATGTAAGGGACCATGTTTCATATGCATAAATAACAGTAGGAAGGATAATAAGCAAGGTTTGATATCGATAATTAAAAAATAAAAATAAAAATAAACATATAATCTGATCCATATTTTTATATGGAATTTTTAAAAATCATTTAAAGATTTTTATTTTTGATCATAAGTGATGAAAATCATATCCTGATCATTATATTTGAACAAAATTTTTACAATTAACAATAATAATAATAATTCTTGAGCAATAATTTTTCAAATCAGAAATATAAATTTTTTGTACTCTCTATGGATACATTTTGAGTCTGAAGTAGTATATGGAGAATATTATTGTGAACTATTAGCAACAGAGCATCTTTACTTCCAAAATTTGTTAGAAATAGAATTGGCAGTACTTGTTGGCGACGCGGCCTCTATGGACTGCTATCTGCAGTTATCTTGTTATTTAAAGTGTTGTTATTTATATTTCTTGTTATTAAATGTTTATAACCTGAACACTGATAATTGTTATAAGGCAGTGATAATCCCTATCTTCATACGAAATTATACTCTCGTATTTGGTGTTGCCTCTTTTTTGCCTGTTTCTTACATATATATATTAATAAAAAATATAAATATAATAATAATATAGTAATTTAATAATAAGAAATATAAATAACAACAACACTTTAAATAACAAGATAACTGCAGACAGCAGTCCATAGAGGCCGCGTCGCTAACGAGTACCATTTTGGCTTACAAAAAAAAAAAAAAAATATATATATATATATATATATGTGTATGTGTGTATACATATATACAGTGCAGGTGCCGCATACACAAAGCGATTTCAGAAATATAATATTAAAAAATATGTACATTAATAACGTATACATACACATAAATATATCATTTAATTTATTAGTAAAAGGTGATTTTTATTTTCTGATCAACATTTTTTTTTTATCACAATTTAATCATTATTATTTATGTAAAACCGTATCATTCAGTGGGTGATGATTATTATTATAAAATAAATAAACATCAAAGATCGATTTAAATATTTATAAATCAAACAAAATTTTGAAGTTAAAAATCACATATAATAATTAATACATGATTTTATAGAAAAAAAATTATCGATTTCAAACCCTGATAAGGAAGAAGGTGAGAGCAGGGGTAGTTTTGCGATAGAAAAATAATAAGCATTTCCCACTTTAATTTCGTCATCAATTTCATTTTTTATAGTTATTATAGAGCTATATGCCTAACCTATTTTATATGTTCAAATATATTCCCTTTTATGTCTGTATCTCTGAAATTATCAATTGTTGTAGTGAACTATATATTTTGTCTTGTCCATAAATGGGTAGACTCCATCTAAGACAAATTTGCGGGTGGGTAGAGGGAGGGGAGAGAGAGAGATACGAAGTGCCAAAACATTTTTTCACCAATCTCCCACTCTTTTGTCTTCTCTACTCATTTGTACGGAATTTTAAACTTTTATTCTTTTATTAATTACCGTTTATTATGTCAAGTTCTAGAGGTATGACCAAACCTATTCTAACTAGAATGAGAAGGACGAGTTATATTCCATGGGTCCGCCACAAAATAAAAGTAAATTCTTCCCAGGCCGTATCCGCTAGACACTACAGTGCTACAATGGGCAACATTCTCGGCCATAACAACCTCATAGGTGTGTACCACCATACTGGATCTAATTTAATTTTAACATAAAAACCAATATTAATAGAAATCAGAATAGATAACTCACGTGAGATCGGAAACAACCCTGACAAGAAGTGAAAATGATTCTCTCGCAGCTCTCTGTTTCGCAGGATCAATATTGCCGCTGAACCTTTGATGCCTAGCGCATAATTTTTCTATCAGGTCTTGCGGTGATAGGAATGTTCTGTAGGTGGTGAGGAAAGCTTCTTGGTATAGAAAATCTGTTAGAACAAAATGATTCTGAGTAAATAATGCCTATAACAGAAATATATTATTTATGCTAAAACTTTTGTATATATACCTGTTTCTTTCTCTTCTGTCCCATTGAAAGAAGGAAACAAAGAATTTTATTTTTATTTAAAAAAAAAATTAAATAATAACCATAACAAATAAACAATATATTGCTCATTCAATACAATGTCCAAACTAAAAAAACTCACAGTTCAGAAATTTTTTTTATATGGTTCCAAAGTTGATTTTTTTTTAAATAATGTTCATTTTACTTATGGCCTCCTAACTGAAGGTGGACGTAACTGATGTAGTTAAAGGTTACAAGAACTTTTCATGCCATGAGTAAATGAATTTTGAAGCAGAATTGAGATTCTAAATTTTCAACAGATTTTTTTTTTAGTAACCTTTGTATTTTAAAGTGTTCTATTGATATATTAATTGCATATTTATTCAATAAAATTAATTTTTTAATTTATTCCTAACTTGTCATTATGTTCCAAGAATAGTTAATGAAAAACAAATTTATTTGGGGCTAGCAAATTTAAATAATAAAAAAAAAAAAATGTTTTTTCATTATTTATTTTGTTATTTTTAGTGGCAGCAGGGTTGCTCAGTGAGTAAGGCACTCCTATACTCCTAATATCAAAGGCCTATATTCCAACCCCGCTGTGGCAGGTAATTATTTATTGTGTTTCATAAGCCGTGGATGAAATATTTGTTATATAAAATTATTTTTAATTATCATAATTCTAGTGCTCGACAATGTAGCAGAACATTGGATAGCGAATGCACCATATCATATAATAACTGTGTTGGCGCCACATCATAATAAAAGCTAGTACCAAATTCTTTGCAGTTGGGTTTTTAAATCAAAACTAACATATTTATTAGAATTCACATTGTATTAAATGAGCATAATATCTTAAAATAAAATGAAGCAATGGAAACCATAACCAATGTTGATAAAAATATTTCTCTGGTTTTAACACATAAAACATCAGTTGCACAAATTGATTTTAAAATTGGTCATCTAAAGCCTCAAAAGCTAAAAAATAAATAACTTCTTGAATCTCCAAAGACCACCATTCATTAGTTTTTTTTTTTTTCAAGAGCATGGACTAATTTATAAAAACTTAAATTTTAAAACATGTGGTATGATAAAAGCCTTTCAGAAATTTATTTATTTTCAAAATCTGAGCTTTTTTATTGAATGAATCATATTAATAAGTCTTGAAAATTGACATTTTAGGTGATACAACCAGATATAAACTGTAACATCCTAGAAAAGTTATAGCTAAGTATATTATCTTTAGGAGTGATAGTGGAGTCCCTAATCTGAGCTACGATAACCTAAGGTTTTTTTTTTTTTAATTTTCACAAATTATTATAACAAATAAAGTTTTAATCCAGCTATGTACACATGTTTTAAAATTATGTATATACACATTGATATAAACATTATGTTATTCGAGGATTTATTTCATTGCCTAACATAATTCCCATAATCTAAGAGAGAATTGGTTCCATCTTACTCAGATTATAGAGACTCCACTTTATATCAGAAACAAATTTACTATTATAATATTAAAACTACTTAAAATTTCTGCAGCCATTTACCTTCAGCTAAGTGCAATTATATATGAAATGTCAGTTTAATTATAATATTTAATTAACAATTGTTAAAAACAAACCGTTCTTGCTCGCCTTCGTTGCATGAATGATAAGGGCAACGGGTTGTCCTCCTCGTATCATAGGACCCTCCTCGTCCGGCCTCTTCAGCACCAGCAGCCGAGACACATCAAGATCATAGAGGCAGTCGACGTCACCATTGGTCACGATAGTTTCTCCCTCGATCATTGGGGTTGGTTCTTTGTTATTGAATGTGGTTTCCTTCGTACTAAGAAAGAAAAAAATTATATGAATTGTTTTGCCTATTCTGTCAATAGAAGTCTATTATTGTTGGTTATAAAATTTTAGTACAATGAGCCTTTTTTTCTAAACACTTTGAATAAAGCATTTTTTTTTTTTTATAAGTCTGTTCTTTTAAATTATCAACTAGTAGGCCTCCCTAATCTAATACAATTAAAATCTCCTAATTCCATGGTCTAACTGCCTGCGAGGACCAGCGAAGTTAGGGGCGGGGTTCGATCATATGATCTTCATTCTACTGGTACAGAGGCTAACCACTCTGCTATACAGGCTCCCAAATGATCATATTTTTTTTTGTGTTCTTCTCTTCCTCGCCTTTTAGGCTATAAGAGGTTTTCCCGGGCCAGGGTGTGAGGGAGGGAGATTAATGCCAGAATTAAAAGCCCCACTTGACACCAGGACGCGAACTCGTAACTGTTTTATCATTCATAACTTCGGTTATCAGAGTGCACAGCACCGCGTGTTAGCCCACTCATCAACCCTTCCCCCCCCAACTCTTGAAGTAAGGCATAATAAATATGGAAGCATAATTACATAATACGAAACCTCATGAGCAATCAACAGCCAAGTTAAACTGATAAAAACTATTTAATAAAATTGTTAGTTATAAAATTTGACCCTGTCATGAATCTTTTTTAACATTTTAAAATAAACCATGATAAATATTCTATGAAAAGCTCGAATCATCCATAAATGAACTGTGGAAACTGTAAAATAAAATACTATTTTTGGCTAAAATTTTTTAGCGTAATGAACCATTATTTTTTTTAACAATTTGAAAAATAACCCCTAGGCCACCATAAATATACTGTGAAAAGCATAATTACATATGATACACAATGGGTTAAAATCTGTATAGTAAAATATAAACTCTATTTTCATAAAATTTACTTTTCTTTGAAAAATCATTGCTATGATTTCTCTTTTAAATAATGAAACTGAATATTTTCTTTATTCAAAAAAAAAAAAATGAAAAATGATTTATAATATGATTCACAGTTATAACAATCCATGTTATATTAATATAATTTATTATTGTAATTATAATTATATTGATATAACTGTCGGTTATATCAATCAATTTACAATTGGATTTTTTATATTTCAACAGCAATATATTAACACTTAAAAAAAAATAATTGCCAGGATCAGAGAAAGAATAAGCTTTTATAATAAGCGAACTTTTAGTATTGTTTGCTATTGCACTGTGAAGATGGAAAAAAAAAAAAATTATTTACTATTGACATATTTTGCCTCAGACATTATATCAACAGATCATGCTAAATAAGGGCCAATACATTGTAGATAAAAATAAATTTGAAACCAAAAATAAAAATTTTATTTCACCCGAAGGGAAATAAAGAAAATCTGAAAGGACTTGCCAATCCAATATATAAAACACAGTTTAAGAATTGATATAACTACAAATCTATATATATATAAATGAATGTGTCTGTCTGTCCGTCTGTTTGTCCTTAGTGCATTACTAAACCATTCAACCAATCGCCATGAAACTTTGGGAAGTTGTTCCGTACACTCCTGGGAAGGTTTCTGGCATAGTACTTCTGTCTTACGATAATTTTATATATGTAAAAAAAATAAAAATGTAAATGTTTTTCTGTCCAAAGCCGCAAAAAATGTGTCGCTATAAACTGTAGCGCCAAAACGGCTTTACCGATTTTAACGAAACTTGGCTAAAGTCTTCCCTTGAAACCCTTTTAATTTATGTGTATAACATACTTTCCCGAAAACAAGCTGAAAAATGTTACGATGAATTCAATATTTTATTTGACGATAACTAAAAAAGTACACAATTTTTGACTGATAATACCCATATTTATATGAAAGATTTCTGAATTGCTGACAAAATAAAAAAAAAAACATCGAAATCGGACGGTTCGTTGCAGAGTTATAGAGTTTTAAACATTTACTGCTTTCTCTTCAGAAAAGGCCATTTCCTTTTGCTTCCTCACTACCGAAGGGCGGCAAGCATTTTTTTTTTTATTGATTAATCGAAAATTTTATAATTACTACAGTAATTGAAATTATCATTTGAAGAATTTATATGATTCTCCTTATGTAGGTCAATACTATTATACGATTTTTTTAATTTAGTTTTATAAGTTCAACTCAGACTGTTTCTGATGATTATGAATGACGGCGTATTTACTCAGATGATTATGAATGTTCAATTTGAATCATGAGAAAAAAACCCATTAGAATTAGTTTAAATTGAAGCCATTTTACAGACAAATTTGTTTCCCAACTTTTTAAAAATGACAGATGTCCTTTGCTATTAATCTATTCATATGTGCTTTCTATTTTCTTTCTTTTTCATTTTGCAAGGCAAAGCCACAGCAGCACTTGCCCGGGTAAAGCTAGTTTTATTATAAAATCAATTTCATTGGCTTGAAAATAAAGAAAATATTCAGTAAGAAAAGTCAACACTGATGAAATATTATGAACATTAACATAATCGATAAAATATTTTGTTTAATGACAAATTGATACTTACAAAGGAGCTGGGGTGGAGGCCGCGATTGGCTGCGGGCTCGGAGGAGGAGGAGGACTTGCAGGAGGTGCTGGTTCCGGCGGCGGCGTCACAACAGACTTAACGCGACTTCTCTTCGGTGGCAGAGCTGGGGGGCTTTTCATATCGTCCGTTTCAAACGAACCTTCCAGCTGGTTCCTGAGAAATTAAATTATATTAAATTTTAATCATATGAAACTAACAAAATTTTAATTAAGACAATTAAGCTAAATTAATGAATACTGTTTGAAATAATAAACTCAATTGAGAAAAACAGGAAAAAAAAAAAAAAATGTGCCTAAAATACACTGACAGGCAAATAATTCCAACCACTTAATTTTTTCATCTAAAAATATTTCTGCTTTGGATTGGTCTATTGTTTTTAATGAATAAATAGGTAATCTTTTTGTTTGTTTTCAATTAGGAATGTTAATATAGAGGACAATAACCCTTAATCCTTAATTCAATGAAATGATTCTAGATTCCAATGTTTACTTTCTATGGAATCAAAATGTTTATTCAGTATCATTAGTTCAGTGCCATTTCTTGCAGCACATTTCTTAGTCTCCGCCTTTTAATTTTTTCAATATTAAGTTTAAATATGCCTCTTAGTGCTGAGGATGTTGCGCGTGGTGTGGCACTTATTGATGATGGACGTTCCATTAGATATGCAGCTAATGCCATTGGAGTTCCATATGAAACTTTACAAGACGCCATTAGGCGTTTTCAGGAAACTGGTTCTTACAATAGAGGGCCCGGTTCTGGACGGCCTAGGGTAACAGAACCACGGGATGACCGGTTTTTGACTTTGAGAATTTTACGAAACCGGCACCTTACCGTTGTTCAAGCGATTCATCAGCTCGAAGAAGTTCGAGGTGTAGCAAATTTCTGAACGTACCGCTCGGAGAAGATTAAATGAGTATGGATTAATGGCTTTTCGTCCAGTAAGAGGACCAGAGTTGACCAGAACTCACAGAGTAACACGGCTGGCTTTTGCTCGAGAACACAGCCATTGGACTATGGACGAATGGAGTGCTGTACTTTTTACAGATGAGTCAAGATTCGCTCTTCGATCTCCAGACGGGTGTGAAAGGGTGTGGAGAAGAAGAAACGAAAGATATGCAGCCTGTAATTTTTCCCAGAGCCAACCTTTCCAACGTGGTTCCTTAATGGGTAACAAGTGGGTGGAATTTTTTGCCTGTCAGTGTAAATGAATTTTTTGTACTGAATCTAAATATCAATGTTTTAATATTTCTTAATTAAATATAAAAATATTTACATAATTAAAAAAAATAAATTAAATAGTTCACCCTTGTGCGATGGAGAGGGTGTGGCTGAAGGAACAGGAGTGGGTAGACGTCAGCGAGATCTGCTGCTGTTGTTGCTGCCATTCTGCTTGGAGGAGCGAGTAGGTGTGCACAGAATGCCTGAGGAGGTCGGAGGCATTCGGCTGTGAGCAGTTGCCGAACATCTCCATGTAGGCCATGACTATAATCACAACGTATTGTAGAACAAGAACATGTACAATATGTTTGAATAATAATTGTAATTATGCACATTTACGAGAGTGGGAAGGATAAAACAGCTATTTAATAATAAAAAAAATGATCAAATGATGATAGTCTCTCTATTGAGTTGTAAACAAATTATTAATGGTTTTTCCAAGTTTTATCCTACTTGAAGCCCCCACTAGTCATTTTTATTGTAAATTTTTCTAGGAAGAATTACCAAGGTTTTTATAACAGGCTGTAAACAAAAAATCTGGTGCAGTGTGCGCATCACACAACTATCACTTACCACCCTCTTCTTAACGGAAATAAGTATTTTCAGACAAAGGGGAAGTGAAAGTAAAAATTATAAATGCTATATTGATTTATATTTCATTGTGGGTATTTTTATTAGTATAAATATCCTTATATATACAAATTTTAATATTTATGTATCTGTAATCTATACAATTAAATATTAAATAATACCAACAATAGCATTTATGAAAACCACATTAGTATATTTACATAGTATTGTCGCAGTCCTTATTATATTAAGCTCAAGTTATGTATGGAAGTGTGTTCTAATCTTTCGGACGAGATCAGGTGCCCTCATTTTCCTTTGGTTTCTGAATTACAACTATTCTCCGTTAGGATCTCTAATATCTCCTTTAGTTAATTATCAAATTCTTTCATATTTTATATTTAACTATCTTTTATATTATATATTAATGTGAAGTGGTTAATTGTTTCAAATAAAAAAATTAAAGGTACTTTAGGGGAAGCTAATATTGAAAATAAGCCATTTATGCCCTGCTGGAAAATCGTAAAAATGTGTTTAGTCTATGATATGAAGTGCCACTTCTGGTTATCTGATTTTGACAACAAAGTTGCTGTAAAATACCAAGCATATAAAAAAACTTAAATATGCAATTTCACTTTCGTACAACTTTTCATTTTGAGCTAGACTGTTAATACAACGACACACACACACAGACCATTTTGCGGGACTTGGTTATTTCGACTCAGGAGACTTCACAACATGTATTTCACATAGAAGTAAGTGCAAGTAAAAATGGACAACTTTTCACAAAAAATTAATATTTTTTTTCCTTAATAACATAACATATTTGAAACCAACACGCTGTGCAGTTCACTCGTCAAGGACACATTCTCCTTCAATTTCGTAAGACACTATCATGTTGCTTTATAACAAAAACTTTTGCACTAACGCTTTATAGGGCCAGTCAATTGTTGATAAATAAGCTTTGATTAGTGTTCTACAAAGATAATACATTGTTGGTAAACAATAGATAGGATTAACAAGTTTACAGTTCTTGGGATTCATGCATTTGACGAAACAATATTTTTTTTTTTTTTGTATACATCATATTACATCTATAGTGAGTTTGGATTTATACGAGGCAATTTAAAAGTAATAATAGTTTAATAAATAATGAGAAAAAAAGTTAATAGTATATGTGCAATGTTCACAATAACGTGTTAAAAGAACTATTAAACAATAAGTTAGCAGCTTTTGAAAACGAGGAATCTAAAGCTCGAGTCGTCAAGCTAATAAAGAATGGTACAAAAATAATATGAAGACCTTAATAATTCTTCCTATAAAAATTTACAATTATAGAAACTTATTTATTTGATATAGAGTGATGAAAGCAAATAGACTCTTGATTCCTGAGTCCAGAACCGAGTCACAGCAGGCCTCAATTAATGAGTACATGACCCTTTCCTTCAAAGAGTGGTGAGGGGAGGAAATCTGGTTATTGAGCATGTTAGCATAGATGCATACACATCACTTCCTTTTATAACCATTGTTCAAAAAATAGTCCTCAACCACTGAAACCATTTATTTTAACTATCTTCTTATTTTTCTTTTTTTTATTAGGAAGCTTACGTTTATAATTTTTTCATATTTTAGGCAGTAAAACTTTCAATTTACGTTTCTCTTACGTCTCTTATGTTTCGGGACAATTTTCCCATCATCAGAGTAATATTTTTATTTTTACTGAAATTATGCACATTTTCTATATTAATTTTTATTTAACAATATCTTTCCAATTTATCTATTTTACAATTATTTACCATTCATTTTTTTTTTATGTGGCACCATTTGTCAAAAATTAAATATTTGTCAAATTTTTAAAAAATTATTTGGAGTTACATATATTCACTGATACACTAAAATGATGCCAGTTTCTCAGGAATATATAGATTCATTTTCATATGTTGTTCCGGAAGTTAAAATAAATTTTTTCATGTGGCACCATTTTAGTGTATCAGTGAATATATGTAACACCAAATAATTTTTAAAAAATTTGACAAATATTTAATTTTTGACAAATGGTGCCACATAAAAAAAAAAATGAATGGTAAATAATTGTAAAATAGATAAATTGGAAAGATATTGTTAAATAAAAATTAATATAGAAAATGTGCATAATTTCAGTAAAAATAAAAATATTACTCTGATGATGGGAAAATTGTCCCGAAACGTAAGAGACAACAAGCATAAATAAAAAAATATGAAGAAAATTGGAAGTTTTACTGCCTAAAATATGAAAAAATTTATTTTAACTTACGGAACAACATATGAAAATGAATCCAGAAGAATGAATCTATATATTCCTGAGAACCTCGAGATACTTGAAAGGAAAATAATACGACACAAAAAAGATTCTACTTCTCAGTTTAATTTGGTAGGGAAGTTTTAATTTTCAATAGTTCAATTTAACTTCCTTTAATTTTTCATTTTTCCATTATAACATTCCTGGAAATATTTCTTCTCCAAAATTGATATCAATTAGTCAAATTATATTTATGCTGCCATTCCCAGAATATTTTTTTACTATTGCTATTGTTATAGTGCCAAGAATAATAGAAATGGAAGTATTCAAAATAGTTTGAAGGTAAAGGAAAAGTCTAAAAGATAAAATCTATAGATAAATTTAAAAAAATATATATAACATCTCAATAAATATATTCTATAAATACTTACTAATAAAATAGGATATGTTTTATGTTTATTTTTTCAAAATTATAATTTAAATAAAAGAAACTTCATTAGAGAATCTAACATGTTCAATTATAATCTATCTACCTTTTCTTATCTAATTTAAAAGAAAGTGACAGTTAAAAAGAAGAAACAAAAAAAAAAAAAAATTAAACATTTCTCTTTTGTGTTCGGTCTATTCTAGATTTAATGACAGAAAACACAATGGCATATCAGACACATACTAAACACATACATGCTATGATGGAAAAACATATGAAGAAAATAAACTTAAATAAGTATGTTTATTTATTTATTTTCTTTTTTTCAGAGAATTATCATAGCTTCAATTAAAGTGATGTCAGAAAAAATTCTACTTAGACTAATTATCTGGTTTTGTCACATGAATTTTACTTTTAGATTAACAAAAGTTTAAATTAAAAAAAACATTGTAACAAAATTATTATTAGGATATTGTATGAAGAAGCCTTCAGTATCTCAAGCAGTTTTAAATAATTAATTAATGTTTTACTAATTCAGGCAGCTTCAGGACAGAATTTTCTTTGAAATGACGAACAGTGTCCAGCGAAAAAATTCGAGCATAATACAAGAATCGAAAGGCAGTGAACTGTAATGTTCAAGATATTTTTTCTTCAATTTATTGAATTAAATATTTAAAAAAAAAACAGAAAAATATATGCCACCGTTGGAGATTTATTTCAGGTGTTGATAACTGGAGAGAGCAACAGGCAATAGAAATGATCTAATTTTCATTGATTAATTGAAATATAACTGCAGAACCATCCGAATCCTCTCGTTTCAAACCTTGCTTCCTCCTCGATCCCTGATAACCCTCCGAGGCGTCTGAAAAGAAGATGGCCTCGGGACCTTCTAATATAGAACTTTAATTTGAGTTCTACCAACGGGTAGTTTCTCTTCATGTTGTACATGTCATGTTACCAATGTCACATTTACTTATTGTATTTTCCATGTAATACAGTTTTAAATTTCAATAAAATAAAAAAAAAATTGAAATATGCTTCTTGGCTTTTTCTTATATAATCATAAAAGCTTGTTGTTTAATATGGAATCAACTCCTAGAAGGCAATTCGTACCGCATCATTAGTTTTAAAATGATCACTATAAACTGTCATTTTTAAACAGTTCAAACTTCTATTTATCAAAAATGTCTATATATAAAACTTTTTTTATTAGAAATAATAGCATTTGAATGAAATAAATTATCTATAATTCAAGCAGTCACATAAAAAAAAACTGCTAATTATTACACGAGGGTTTACTATTTCCAAACAATTTAACATCAAAATAAACATTACTTTCCATGTAACATAAAGAAAAATAAATAAAAGATTATTCCTAACTTTGGCCTAAATATTTTTTTCTTTATCATTAGTAATTTGCTTAGAAAAATAGAAAAAAATTGCTACAATTGATATAAGACTTTCAAAAAACCAAAAACTCAAACCAAGGATACAAGCTTTGCAGTAGAACACCATATCCTTGTACTAAATTGGCCGATTTTGTACTTCTTAAGTTATTCGGAAATCTAATTTTAACATCTCTCATAACATTTTTCCAGCTCTTTTTTGTTAAAGTACGTTATATAGATAAATTTAAAGGGCATCGAGGACTTTAGCTAAGTTTCCTTGAAATTGGTACATTCGTTTAGGTACTTCGATTAGATTTTTTGGCCACCATCTTGGGTAAGAGCAGATAGAATTGTCGAAATAAGAGGATCATCCTCGGGTTACTTCTGACTTGATCCAAATTTGAAAAAAATAGATTTAATATTCTAGGAGAAAAACCACGAACGGCGGACAGACAAATTTTTTTAAATTAAATTTTCAAATCCTGCGTATAGTGAAACATAAAATCTCAAATTTAAATTTTTTTGACAATTACAATGATTCATTATCGAAAATAATAAACCAAAAAGGCCCTTAGTTTTTGAGTTTATAAGAATGGGGAGCGGGGTGGCCGAATGGGCTAACGCATGTGCACAGCACCGCGAGTTGCCCGGCAACCAGATAAACGAAGTTATGAGAGATTAAAAATGTCCGAGTTCGCATCCCGGTGCCGGAGAGGATTTTAAATTCCCCGCCCTCACCCCCTGGCCAGGGAAAACTCTGTATAGCCTAAAGGCAAGGTAGGGAAGAACAAAAAAAAAATAGTTAATAAGAATGGGTAACCCGAGGCAAGATTTGGGAAATGTAAGATCGTATAAATTTAAAAACAAAATGCTAAAATTACAGCCTCTTAGATGAATTCTTTTTATTTGGAGGGATTTCAAAATTTTTAATGCTTAGAACTCCAAATCTCTTGATATGGCCACTGTGGTTAAATAAGAATTTCTCAATAGGTCAATTTTTTTTTCTAGGTACTTTCATGTTTGATCTATAGAAAATCGACTGTATTTAAAATAAATACATAAATAATCAATCACTGATTAGTCTTTAATTAAGTTTTTAAAGAAGTTTAATTTTAAGTGTATGAATTTTTGTGCATGAAATAAATAATCATTTATGGCATATAAGAATTAATTTGTGTTTTATTCCATGTGATTAAAACCAGATAATAAAAGAATAGATATATATATATATATATATATATAAATATATAAAAGGAATCTGTGATAAAAAAGAGATCGATAAGATACAGACAGAACAAGTTAGACATGTTACATCAATGAATGCCTATCTATGATGATGATGATGATGATGTTGATGAAGATGATGATGTACACCAATGATGAGAATGAGAATGAATTTGTGGTTTCTAGAGCATTTTTTGGCATGCGCTAAAAAGCATTACACTACTGACTATATTTCTTACCCGAATAAGCCACCGACTGGAATACTGAGAGAGAAATATATGTGTTAAACAGTTGCAGTATAGGCGTTTCATATCCTAATGGTTGTTTAATGTTCTTATCAAACACACATCACCAGTCAGCAATCAGTAGGGCAGTCGTTCTGATGTCTTAATCAATTCAATTCAATAATAAGACCTTAACATTATAAATACTCATAATTTAATAAAATATTAAATACCTGCAGACATAATACTTATGTCTTGTTAAAATTAATCTTTACGATCTCTTAGAAATATTCACTTTAACAAATATCACTCCAATTTCGAGTGGCTTTTATCTGACTACTTATACAAGTATTATCCAATCCAATCGCTTCCTTACTGCTTCTAAATACAATAATTTAAATCCGAAATTCATTAATAAAATACATGGTCTGACCCTTGCAATCTACTATTATTTATTAATATAAATATTTAATCAGTCATGTTGGAATTGCTATCCGGCAAAGTGTTTTTGCAATAAGCAACTCTGTACTCAATTGGGTAGAAGTTAAGTTAGAAAGTCTGTTGGCCACCTCCTCAAAAGTTGTCGGGGTGAAACGTATGGGTTCGTGGTGGAATTAAGTGTTTCGGCTAATGGGTTCATGTTGTAAGACAGCCTCTGGTGGAAATTTTTATAGTATTGTGTTACGTTATCTGAAACCGTTTGGATGTACAAGACATTGTGGAACAATTTATTTGTCATGTAGAAAGGTTCATCTGCAATTTTTTGCAAAACTTTTGATTGAAAAGTTTGAATTTTGTAGATATTAGACTTTTTCGTAGCGTCCCATAGCCTTATCCTGTAAGTCCTTACAGGTTTTAAGAACGAATTACGAAAAATTCGCACACCATATTGTCAAGTGATCAAATGGCAAATTAATAAAGAAATAAAATAATGGAACGTATCATAAGATAAAGAAATAAAAAATTAATTTAAAACTTCATTAATGTTTGGGAATCAACATGTTTACAAATTTCAATAAGCTGTATCTTTACTAAAAATGGTCTGATTTCTTTTTCTTTTGTAGGAAAATTAGTAATCTTTTATATAATCTTGGGCATAACCAAGGAAAAAGTGTGTAATTTTTTAGTTATTCACAAATAAAGTTTCTTTTCTTTCATAACTTGTTTGCCTAAATTTTCGGGGTGATTGGACTATTTTGCCCGCCTGAAGGAGAAGGAAGCCTTCAAAATTGGTGGCTCAATCTTGAGATTAGGTGAAGAATTAACGATGATATGGCATGCCGATCAAAAACACAATCGATAAATAATATAAACTCCTCCTCTCTCGATCATAGAGGCCTCAAGTCGACGAAATGAGACATGTATTCAATGACAGTACTAAAATTAAGCCTTACGTTATCTCGAAAATAGTATGTGTTTAAGCTTAAAAACGCAGGACCCGACAGTTCCGGAGGAGGCTGTACGCATCAAAATCTTCAAAGCCCAATTTGTCCCGTATCGATCTACAAACTTATCACCGTTCCAGTATTGAAGCCTAGCAAAATGTTTGTATCGACTTTATTTATTTTAGAAAGAAAAACAAAAGTGGAGAATACGATTCGCTAATCCCCCGTGAAATTCTGAATCCAACGGTACCCCATTCATGGTAATTGAGCATGACAGGGGCTTATATTTGGTACAAAACCGATTTCGAACCTTACTGTAATAATATATGTGGGGATTAGCAGATTATAAGGTTGTTAGTTAAGAATAATTTGGAGTGTCTGTCATGTACCCTAGATAAAACTTCAAATCATTTGTTCAATTATTTTCTTTTCAGTTTAATATCCATGTCAGTCTCTTGTCCAGATAAAGTGCGCAAATAACGCACTTATTCTGATGAAGGGATAGGAAGATTATTGAAGAAAACCTGTGGACCTATACCATGTTTTAGTGTAAAAACAATTAATAACCTTTTCATTTCATTCATTTTCACTTTTCACCTGGTAGCTTAATTAAAAATATCATCAAGATAGTTTTTTGGATTGGGATCAATAAATCTCTTATAATAAAAATAATAATATGAAATTCCTCTATTAATAAAATTAAGTGCTTTCGAGAGTCTACATTTCTTTTGCCTATAGTTTAAATCTTATTTCCAGCTCTAGTTTGACAACCCATAAGCACAAATTCAATTATTATCAATATTATGCTTAATATTCATCCATATATGATTTTAAGCTTCTGGTATGAAAACTTATTGAGAAATGATTTCATCGATACATCTTTTTGCCGTACTGATTACTGACTTCGCAGCAGACATTTTTGGGTACAACATTAAGCACGTTTCCAAATGGGATGGAAAAAGGGTTCATATTTACAAGTTTTGACTAAACTAAAAATTATAATAAAAAAAAAAATCTGTCAAAGCTCTGCCTCCAAAATGTATTAACCTAAACTATATTTGATTCCACAGGCAACTAATTGTTTAACTTCCAAATTTTAGACTCATTCGTTAATAACGTATAATTGTGTTATAATAAGCAAGCAATTAAAAAAAATATCTTCTGTATTAAAAGTTTTTCTATATTTATATATAATCTTCATATAAATAAATAATACATAATCAAGCGGCAGCTAATTCAGAAATTTTGTAACTTTTTGTAAAAAAAAAAAAAAAAAAGAAAAAAGAAAGAAGCATTTCTTCATGTGGTTAATTATATTTATTTCACTTTGTAAAGTATAAAAAAAATAAAAGCTTTTGTGAAAAAAGCAACATCTATTACATGCCTTTCCGATAAAAGCTCTACTGGCTATCATGAAAGGAATCTCTGTCAAACATATTTTTAAATTATAAAATTTTAAAATTTATTAGTGTTTACTACTAGGTATCTAACATGTGTATTAGCGAAAATAAAGTACATAAACCTAAAAAAATTTGAATGGTTGAATAAAATCGGTTAAACTGCTTATCAGAGAGTTGATTAATTGAAAATCAATAATCCAGATTTCATTTTTAATTTAAGTCTAGATTTTTTGTTTGTTTTTCATTACTTTCGAAAAACGATTAATTCTGAAAAACCAGAGTTTAGGGCACCAATTGATATTAAACTAAATTTTTATATTCTTATTTATTTTTAAAATTAAAACGGACTATGTACATATTCACTAGAAAGACATTAAAAAAAAAAAAACATAAAATAATTAATAATAAAAAAAAAAAAGCTGAAACTTTGTAACATATGATAAATTATTAAGGCTTTAATTTTAATTGAGTGTTAAAAATATAGGCAGGAAGCAGACAGATCTTTCTTTCTTTCATCTTTTCTAATTATGACAAAGAAAAGAATATTTGACTAATGAGAAAAACATCAATTGAAAATAAAAATTAAGTTAATTTATTTAATTATTTAATGATATTAACAAATAATAATGAAAAAATAAAAATGATAAAATAAAAAGGGTATGCCACTGAAAAGAAAAAAACGGAAATATTGTTTCTATACTGCAAATTAACAAGAAATTTTGGCTATAATTTTCTAAACACAAAAATTAATCATAGCAGCCATTTAACAATTGATTGTGATGATATAACATCTAAACAATTTTAATAAAATATCAACCGGGTTCATATTATTTGACCCAGCTATCTCTAAAGCGCAGCAAACAAACAGTGTTATCTAATCGTTTCATTTTTTTACTTACTGTGCTTTTTCTTCAGAGGTAGAGGTGGTGGTTTGCTATCTGTAGGACTGTTTGTCGAAGGGACGTTGTCATACTGAGATGGCTGCCGTTCCCTTCGAGACCTCTTCTTTTCTGGCAGAGCCGGAGGAGTTTCCCCTGGACTCGAGACCCTCTGCTCAAGACAGACCTGTGATGAAGATGAAGAAGAAGACCGTTGCTCTATGCTGATCTGCGACGATCTCTGTTCGATGGACATCTGCGAAGACCTCTGCTCCATACTCATGGTGGTGTGAAGTTTCCGTTCTTCCGTAGTTGAATTATAGCAAACTGTACTCGACTTACTTGTGGAGCTGCTGTAATTGTAACTCTGGCTTGAGCTTTGTTGGATAGAAAAAAACCCTGAGGAAGTTGATGTCCTATCGATCGTGCCCAAACCTGTAAGAAAAAAAGAAAAATAAATAATCAGAATACGTCCTGTAAAAAAAATTAACATAAAATATACAACAAAAATGTGTAACTATTTTCTATCCTAAAGTATTATGAAATTAATTGACTCTTCTATAAGGTCTTTTGGGTACCTTTTACGTAAGTATCACCAGTTAGTTTTTTCTCACTTATTTAGAACTGTTACAAATTTGTCAAATACACATGATTTGATAAAACATTACGATTGTACTAATTAGCTGCAGATTAGCTTTAGATCTGAACGACAGAATACATAATAAAGTTTTACCATTTGAGCAAGTAATAGTTCAATTAAATGAACAAGTTTATAATTTGTAAAATGGGGGTTGGTCCGTCATTAGGCAGATAGAGGGTACACCTCTAATCATTAATAAATTTATGTCTGTCAAAATTAAAGTTATTTTTTTTTATTTTTTACAACGCATAGATATTTGTTTAAAAAATTGCATTGATCATAATACTTGTAATTTTAATTTGTCTATTATATGTTATTGTTGTAGGGCTGTGTATCTTCTATATAGCTTGGAATGTACAACACGATGTTTGGAAATATATAGAAATAAATTAAAAAGATTTAATATATTCTTACCGACGCTGTTATTATACGATGGAGTGGGATCTGGGGATTCTGTCAGCTGAGTAGGATCGGAGGTATTGCTACAAGAACTGTCCCAGCAGCAGGAGCTAGTCTGGCTGCCGTTGACGACAGAACTCATCCCTGATTGACAAAAAACTAACAAATTAGCTTTAGATATGCATAAAATAATATATAAAAAATAAAACAATATGAGATTGAAGATAAAATTAATAAAAATTCACACGCACCTCAACAAAACTAGTTTCAGATTATTATACAGTCATTAATTGATAATTTAAATTTCTATAAATCAAAGAAAATTAATATAATAATGAGAGCCCCTAAAGACAATGAAGAAAATATTAAACAAGAAGAAACAAATGTTCCACTTTAAATTGAACTTCTTGTCCTACAGTATCCTTCAACAATAGCTCTCTTATCCCTGTCGAACAAATCCGATACTTAGGACTCCACCTTGACAAACAACTCACTTGGAACCCCCATACCAGACTGAAACGACTAGAAACCGCCCGACGTTTTCGACTACTGCAGCACTTACTAGACAAACGCTCTAAGCTTTCAATCAATTACAAACGACTCGTATATATGACAATAATAAGACCTAGTTGGACTTACAGAATTGAGCTTTGGGCCCCACTAAACCATCGAATTCCCATCGTTACAATCCAAAATCCTTCATAAAATCCTCAACGCTCCTTACTTTGTCACAAATAAAATCATCCATAAAGACCTTAATGTTCCATATGTTTCTGATTTGGCCTAATCCAGATACCTATCCTTCCATAAAAAAACTGCAGAACCATCCGAATCCTCTCATTTCAAACCTTGCTTCCTCCTTGATCCCTGATAACCCTCCGAGGCGTCTGAAAAGAAGATGGCCTCGGGACCTTCTAATATAGAACTTTAATTTGAGTTCTACCAATGGGTAGTTTCTCTTCATGTTGTACATGTCATGTTCCATGTAATACAGTTGTAAATTTCATTAAAATAAATAAAAAAATGAAAATTGAACTAATCATATTTCTCATTCTTTTTATCATAATATCACGATAAAAATAATAAATTCCAGAGCTTTGCAGTTCTGAAGAAGCTGGAATAATATTTATGCTATTGGATTAAACATAAAAAATAAAACCCTCTTTTATCCGAAAACTAGTACATATATCAAAGTTTTTGCTTGAGCCTTAGGAATTCGGATTAATGAGAGTCGATTTTACCTAAAAAAAAAATACTGAGAAAAATAGTATACTTTAGGAGGACTATATAGCAGATATAAATAGAAAAAAAAAAATACCTCCATGAGGCAGCAAGGAAGTATCCGGGAGGGTGATGGAGTTTTCTTCATCCATGAGGCCATGAATCTCTTCATCCCCTCGACTGGAAGTGTTGAGGATTGAGTCCAATGAACCCAGCGAGGAGTTGTCAGACCTCAGCGATAGCCTCTCCATAGAGTGTGAAGGAGGGCCGACACCACTTCCACCGGACTTCTTCTTCGGTGGCAGTGGTGGGGGAGAATCTCCGATCCAGACTTTCCTATAATTTGTTTAGAGATTAAAAAACCATTAAATTGAAGATAATAATACCAATAAGCAAAAAAAAAAAAAAAAAAAAAAAATACCAATATAAAAATTAATCAAAACAAGACCAAAAATAAAAAAGCAAATCTAATCACAAACTATTTTAAAGTAGATAATACTAAAAAACATAAGCAAAACAAAGAAAATCCTGATCTACAATTTCAGAATGAGAAAAATAAGAATATTAACGCAGACCCCAACCCCAAAAAATACTTTTCGGTCACTTATATTAGAGGTTTAACTAATAAAATTGAAAAAAAAACTTTCAAAAAATATGATATAAATGAAATCAGATTTGGGAAAAAACCTATTAATAAATTAGATAAATTATATAGTAGAACTAAGGATATTATTCCAAAAGAAAAATTAACTAATATTATTTATAAAATACAATGCGAGGATTGTGAAAATAAAGCATATTACGGACAAACCTCACAATGGTTTGAACGTAGGATACAGCAACATAAACAAAATTGCAGGTCTAAAACGACAAAATCAAAATTAGCCACAGGATTATCGCAGCATACCACAAAAAATGGACATAAATTTGATTTCAGTACTACTTCCGTGTTGCATAGAGAACAGAATATTGGGAAACGTAGAATAATTGAATCCATTTTTATTACTAAAAACCTCAAACATTCGGTAAATCAACAGACAGATGTAGATAACTTAAACACGTTTTATGCTAGCTCAATAGACAAAATTAAAATATAATATACTGATATAAAACAGCTGATCCCTAACCCCTCCACCCCACTCCTTTTTAAAGTAAATCCAGTCCTGTATGAATGCCCTAGTGAGGAGCAACAATTTTCTTGATATCGTCTGCGAAAGAGGTATATAAATCGAGAACTAATAATATTCTTTTTAAAAATAATATTAACAATCTATTTTAATTTATTATTTATGTATTACAACTTTTTAGAAGTGAAAAAACGACATTCTTTGAAATAAAAGAATGACTAAAGGACGAATCATTTGCAATGATAGATTTTAAAAATTTTATGGCGCAGTGCATGGTACGTGGAAGATATAAATTTATTAAAAATTAAAAATAAATTTTGACTATTTGTATTACTGATAGTTGTTAAATAATATGTGTCTGATAAGGATGTATTTGAATTGTAAAAACTAAATTAAAATTAGTTTTTCAGGATCTTGAAAATGGCTCCTGAAGCTGAAACGTTGAATAAAGAATACAGGATATAAAAACTGTGTATATTTGGTGACCTTTGGCCTAAAATATAAAGAAAAATTTTTTCGTTCTCATTTTAAACCAAAATTAACTCTATTATATATAGATTACAGTTAGCCAATCAATTTCATTTAATAGCTCAGTGAACAAATAAAAAATATCTTCAAATTAATTTATATTATTTTATTTATTCAATCCATCTTCTTGAAATAGTAGCACTACAGGCTTTTAAAAGACATTTCTATTAAATCTTTTATTGTCATTTCTGCAATATAAACCATTTCTTATTTAGATAAATAAAATAAACTGTAAGCCAGATTGTATTTGTAATAAATATAAAAATTGCCTCGATATTGAAGAAATTTTGGATAAAAAAGATGATAGATCTCAATGGATACATAATTCATTGGTGAGGAACCTGCGTCCTACAAACTTTTTTGCGCAATATTTATTAATCTAGAGCTAAAATTAAGTGTAATATACATATACGGGTACGTATATTAAAGCGATACATACAAATACCAACAGTAAAACATAAAGAATTTTTTGGCTTTTATTTGCACTGCCTAACTTTAATGCAACCTCTAATAATAAAAATATTCCCCTTCTGACATAATTAATTTACTGATTTGCTTAGTAAAACAACACTAGTTTGTTCTTAGAAAAACTTTGTAATTTTTTTACATTTAATTGGATATAATCATTACAAAAATTGATGGTAGTAAAGTGATGTAGAAGGTATGATTTTAATTTAAACAAATGTTCGAGATTTTCAATGATTTACCTTATTCACTAGAGGTCCATGACTGAAGCATAGTGAACGGAACCACTGCTTCAAGCGGTAATAGAAATAAGGAGTCTTAACTACTTTATAAATAGCAAGATATTAGTTTTACAATAAAGGATTATCTATCACATACTGAGAACCAAAATAGAAAAACCGCAAGGGAGTAAAGTTTATGTTTAGAAATGTAAGATCTAAAACAACTAACAGGTTCTATTTTATTGTAAATGTCTATTGCGCTTGATGTTATAACAATACTTACGTTATTGGTAAAGGAGGTTTGGGTGGTGGAGTGTCCGTAATTGATTCCGAGCTGTAGGCGACTTGAGCCCTCGAGCTCTTTTCGAGGATTTGTCTCTCTCGGGGTGTGAGTGGGATATCTGGTAGGGAATTCCGCAGAGGAGGATCAACTGAAAACTTTCCGAACACAGAGTTATCCGTTGAGAACACTGACTTTTCTGCGAGGCTTTTCTGGTCAGCTATCTTCGCCCTCACCTTTGTTACCAGCTCCTGGTTAATCATATTAGAAATAAAACAAATAAACGTCAAGTCGTACATTATACAAAATAACAATGATAAGATATAGAATTTATAAAAAATTAACTAAGATCTGTATTACATTTACTTATTAAAGTTATTTTAATATTCAAATATATATATATATATATATATATATATATATATATATATATATATATATATATATATATATATATATATATATACACACACAAAAATAACTATTTTAAATCTTTACTATTAAATATTATTAGTTCATACTCTAGACCTTATATTATTATATATATGAAAAATATATTGACAATATTTGATATAACTTACAATGACCGCTTCATCGACTTGCTTTAAAACTTTATGGACGTTGTCTTTATTGAGTACTTTCTCACCGCCAATCAGAACATCATCACACAACATGATGAGTTTCATTAAACTTTGGTATACTTCTTTTGTAGCAGTGGTTAGTGCGGTACTGAAAAATATAAATAAAAATCAGTCTATTGTTATTGTTAAATCACAATTTCTAGCAAATGAAAATATTGCTAATTTAATTAAACAAAGTCCAACCTAATTACAGAATCAAAGAAGTAATATATAGTTTAAAATATTTTATCAATTAAAATTTGTTCGAATTTTTATAATTGAGGTAATAACTATTGAAGTAAACTTGCAATATGACTATCAATAGAACTTCAATGGAAGTCTTGGGCTGACGATAGAAAAAAAAAATAAAAAACTAACAATTACCACTTTATTTCATTAATTCGATGCTAATAAAATATAGGAATGCTAAAAGATAGGGAACAAATTGACAGTGTAACACAAAAAATAAGAGTTTTTATAATGATGTGGATGATTGATCGTGATTAAAATTTAAGAAGGAGTTGGTCGGGAATGCGGTCAAATAAAATACTATTTTAATATCAAGTATTGTATTTGACCACACTCCTGACTAACTCCTTCTAAAAGAGTCTTTATATCTTAGTTTTCCTTGCAATTTGATAACATTGAATTTAATTTGTTATATTGTATTTTGTTAAAAGTTTGATTATTAGACTATCAATAAAAAAAAAAAAAATAAAACAGACTGGTCCTAGTTACACAACACTGTCAATATGAGGAATTGTATTTCAAAACCAACCAACTTCATAATACAACATTGATTATTTTGTTTTATTTTTTCAAGAGTTTTATAATAGATTATGATGAGAATTAGTTAAAACTTACAAAAATTAGTTAAAACAGATATGGATAATTGTATTTTAAAATTAACAAAGTCCATTATACAATATTTATTATTTTATCCAACAGTTTTCATAATAAATTATGATTATAATTCTTACTGAAATCAGTTAAAGCTGACATGATATAAATTTATATTTTAATTTAATGATTAAATAAAAAATAAAAAAAACTTACCTCTGGTCAATAAAAACGTAAGTCTTAAGAACACTTTGTATGGTAGCTATACTTTCTAAGACAATCGTCCCGTTACCGGGCAAAACTTCTAGTTTATTCTTCGATACAACGTCCCTGAAGTGTTTGAGAGCGAGCTGTACCTGTAAGATAGAATCCATAATTATAAATTCAACATCTCGTCTCTGGTTGGAAACAGGCCAAAACATTAATATTCTAAGGTTATTAGTCTTTTACTGGGTCGGATATTTTATTTATATAAAAAAAAAACTATGTTTATTTTTAAAAATTAAAATTATATCTGAAATTTACTTCTTATATATTTTAATGACTAAATAAGATTCAACCATGTATTCCACATATTATATAACATTAAAAAAATAAAAAATAATTTTTTTAACACTTTTTTTTTTCCTATTTGATGAAGTTATTAAAATAGACACACATACATTTAACAGCACCTTAATAAAGAAAAAAACAAAGAATGAATTAACAGTAAAATCATCTAGAAACATAACATTTATTTTTAATCAATTTTTTTTCACTGTGAATAAATATAAATTAATAAACTTACTTACAAATTATTAGTGCAATTTTTCAAAAGTATTATTTCATTACTATTGATCAAATAATAAAACTAAATTATAATGAACAGTTAGAATAGAAATGTTTCATTATCAGCAAAACATAAAATCAAAGTGATCTGCTGAGTTGTCAATATTAAAACTGCTTACATAATTAATAACAGGTAATAATCTAAAATAGACAAATTAAAAACATTTTAAACATTAATTAAAAGACCGATTTATTATACCATGAAAATTACATTAATATATATAGATTTAAAATTAGTTTTTATAACATTTATTTTTTAAAGAAAAAATTAATACTGAGAATATCAGTGATAGTGGTATAGCAGATTGTAGCTTTGTGCCAACAATGTACAGATATAAATTGAATAATAAACAGAAAACAAAATATTAAAAAAGAATAAAGGTAATACAATATGAAACTGACTAAATTTAACTTATTATAAGAGAGAGAAAGAGAGAGAGAGGAATTATTTTCGTTTCCTTAGTTGAATTTAATGACCCATTCAAAATAATAGACCAAAACATGTGTTAAAACAATTAGCTGTCTAAGATAAAAATGTTCAGATTTTGATGATTTTTTTTTGGGGGGGGAATTTGGTATCCTTTATAATAATCATGGATATCACCATCCATGAACTATGTACTATTATGGATGAAACTTTTAAAATAAATGACTTCAATACTCAGTAAGCAAGTACTATTTTTGGGCAACATATGTGATCTGACCAAGATCAATCAAAACCAGTGGCGGTCTTAGACATTTTGGCATTCCCAGTGCAATGACGTCATCTCCCACTAAAGAATTTAATTTATGTCTTAAGCTGTTTTATATTAAGTAATATTTGAATTTTATTTCATTCAATGTGAATTGGATTCATTTGATTTCTTAATAGGCTAAAATTAGTTATTCTCATATTCTTTTTAGTTATTTATTTTTAATTCCTAAAAACTGGCTGCACCCCCACACGGACGCGCCTCTAGGCCGATGCCCCCGGGTAATTGCTTCGGTTGACCGGCCCCAAGGCTGGCAGCACTTAACCACCAGGTTTTTCCTTGTATTTATTTATTTAATTATGATTAAATCATTTATTTAAAAATGAGTATCCACTTTATAGATGTTGAGTGTGTCACAATCTCAGACTGGTATAACAAAAAAATAATTATCTGCCAGATTAGAACTTTAGACCTGGAGCATTAGAGCACAGAGACATATTCTCCGAGCTAGCCATCTTCTCAAGATATTGTGTTTTGTAATTACTGAAAGATCAGAACTAACATTAATAAAGAGTTGCAACTAGTAAATTTGATTTGTGTCTCTAGTGGCAGTTGGAAAGATATTTTTATTTCTATTATTATGATAAACCAAGTTTTATATGGGAATTATATACAAATTAGGCACTAATTCGTAAGTAGATTAATACAGTAGAATCTCGATAATTCAAAATCCAAAAGACATGATGAAAAATTTGAATTATGAAAAAGTTTGAATCATCAAGAGGAAAAAAAAAATCGAATTATTAAGAGTTTTTATTATGTATTAGAAAGTATGTGTGAGCTTACATAAATTTTATATACATATAGCATTGGCATCAAGTAAAAAGTGAAAATATAGAAAATGACAAAAAGTTACGTATTAAAATTGTAATCGGTAACAATAACATACCTAATAAAAAACATTTTTTTTTAGAACTTGCTTATTAAGAAATATTACAATCTGTCTCAATTAAGGACATTAGTAATAGTGTTCAGTGAGCATATTCACACTCTATGCCAATAAATAAATAAAATAAACAGCAAAATAATATACCTAAAAAACTAAACTAATCAAAATAGCAACTTAAATACAAACATACTTTTAGACAATATTTACAAAACTCACTCACTCAAGATCGTCTTCCTCCCACTTGTGGAAGGAAAGGCAGGACTATAGGAGATTCCAGCTCCTCTCACTCAGCCTATATATATATCTACAAGGTTGAACTTATAAAACTAAATTAAAAAATTCATTTAAAAAACGTATAATAGTATTGACCTACATAAGGAGAATCACATAAATGATTTTTTATTCAAATTTTCATTCAAATGATAATTTCAATTACTGTAGTAATTATAAAATTTTCGATTAATCAATAAAAAAAAATGCTTGCCGACGTTTGGTAGTGAGGAAGCAAAAGGAAACGGCCTTAATTAAAAAAATAAATATATATATATATATATATATATTTATTTTTTTTCCCTTTTTTTTTTCGGTTGACTCTACAGACCTTGTAGATCTTTGGCCGCCTGAACCAGCCTTCTCTACCTCTGCCTATCTTGGGCTACTACTTTCCACTTTGCGGCATGAAGATCAGCTGTATCTTTGTTTATCCTATCTACCCATCTCGTTTTTGGCCTCCCACGTGGTCTCTTGCCTACTCTGACATTCAATATATATATATATATATATATATATATATATATATATATATATATATATATTGAGAATAGTTTTTTGTTTCTCTGTCTTTGATCCGAAGCATTCAGACACAATAATAAGGGAGGCATACTTTTGCTTTTGCACTCATCATGACTTAACTGAAGAGAACTAGGAAGTACAGCTGTGATGAAAGGAGGAGTAAACATTGCTAGAAGAAATTCGAATAAATAAAAAGAGGAAGTGACCTAGTAGTTAAAATGTTCTCAACCCTCCCTCTTGTTATGAAGAGGATTTCGAGTTATCCAGCTATAAAAATACGACAATTTTTCGATTTACTGAAGTTAACAGCTAAATTATCGAAAATTTCAAATTACCGAGAGCCGACTGTTTCTGAATAATTAAAGATTATTGTTAGGAGCTTGCATAACAAAAGGTTCTCCCTAAAGTTGTTTGCCTATAATTATGAAAAACCAAATGAGATCTAAGATACCTGTTTAACATGAAGGTCTAGATCGGCGAGTGGACTCCTCTCTTCGGGAACATCGCTGCTGCTGGCCGTCCTCGGCTTGGGAGAGCGGGGGGGTTTGGGGGAACCGCCCCCACCTGGGGACCTCATCTGGGAGAGGATGTCCAGGAAGTCTTCCTTGAACGACCTCGCCCGCCTTGCCAGCCGGCCTCCTCGTCCTCCTTCGCCTGAAACAGAAAGGACACTGTTATTATTTGAAGTCGATAATAAAGCTTTGGAAATATAACTTGCTCAATAAAAATAAATAATAAATAATAAATAAAATTTGTTAAAAATATATCCAAGGCCTTACGATAATTACTTCTTCATTCATGGTAAGTGTTCATAGCTTTAGTTCAAACTCTCGCTCAATTGAGCCTTCATTGGTTTTCAATACAAGTGACATGGTAAGAGAGAAGTGTTGGGATCTCTGCAGAGCCTAGATTTAGCCATCTCATTTGGGGAAAGAATGTTTTTACTGTTCCTCAGGTCTAGTCTTCTATATATATAAAAAAGAATGGATGTCTGTCTGTCCGTCTGTTTGTCCTTGGTGCATTACTAAATCATTCAACCGATCGCCATGAAACTTTGGGAAGTTGTTCCGTACACTCCTGGGAAGGTTTCTGGCATAGTACTTCTGTCTTACGATAATTTTATATATGTAAACAAAATAAAAATGTAAAAGTTTTTCTGTTCAATGCCGCAAAAAATGTGTCGCTATAAACTGTAGCGCCAAAACGGCTTTACCGATTTTAACGAAACTTGGCTAAAGTCTTCCCCTTGAAACCCTTTTAATTTATGTGTATAACATACTTTTCCGAAAACAAGCTGAAAAATGTTATGATGAATTCAATATTTTATTTGACGATAATTAAAAAAGTACACAATTTTTGACCGATAATACCCAAAATTATATGAAAGATTTCTGAATTGCTGACAAAATAAAAAAAAAAAAATCATCGAAATCGGACGGTTCGTTGCCGAGTTATTGAGTTTTAAACATTTACTGCTTTCTCTTCAGAAAAGGCCGTTTCCTTTTGCTTCCTCACTACCAAACGTCGGCAAGCATTTTTTTTTATTGATTAATCGAAAATTTTATAATTACTACAGTAATTGAAATTATCATTTGAAGAAGTTATGTGATTCTCCTTATGTAGGTCAATACTATTATACGTTTTTTAAATTAATTTTTTAATTTAGTTTTATAAGTTCAACTAAGACTGTTTCTGATGATTGTGAATGTTCAATTTGAATTATGAGAAAAAAACAAACATTAGAATTACTTTAAATTGAAGCCATTTTACAGACAAATTTGTTTCCCAACTTTTTAAAAATGACAGATGTCCTTATCTACTAATCTACTCATATGTGCTTTCTATTTTCTTTCTTTTTCATTTTGCCAGGCTAAGCCACAGCAGCGCGTGGCCGGGTAAAGCTAGTGTAAATAATAAAAATAAGTATGGATCAGATTTCAATGTTTCTTTATATTTGTAGATACATGTATATTTATAAGACAACTAAAGCTGTTGTTATATAATGGATTTGAGTTTGATTGTCTAAATTCCGACATATCTATCATCTTCTCTTCCAATCTATTAAAAAAAAAAAAATAAAAAAAAAGCTCCAAGAGAACTCATTGGACAGAAGTTAGCATGTTATAGACCCCTTTTCATCAAATTATTAACAACTTCGTTCATTATCTTATCCTAACCTACCCTTTTTTAATCTACGAAAATTCTCAGAAGTGGAATGTTTTCTCATTAAATTAATTAAATGAGTTACTAAAAACTCATAAATACCAATTTGCTTTCCACTTGAATGATAGGACAATTAGATAAAAAAATCGATTAAAAAGGCGGCCTATAAAAATAATGGGTTGTTTGGCCTATATAATCTCGTTATTTTGAAATGTTGGAGGTGAAGGTCACGCCAAACGGTCCAATATGTTTTGTAGACCATATTTTTTTCTAGATTTTGTGATCAAATTACCTTACGATTTAAGTGGAACTCAAATGTGTGTTCATGAGTTTTAAATACCTTATTAAATATATATTCGTCGTAAACCAATGACTTCCTGTCCTACAGTTTCATTTAACAATACTCCACTTATCCCTGTTGAGCAAATCCGCTACCTAGAACTCCACCTGGACAAACGACTAACTTGGAATCCTCATACCAGACTGAAACGACAAGAAACCGCTCGACGATTCCGATTACTCCAGCACTTACTAGACAAACGCTCTAAACTTCCAATTAATTACAAAAGACTCATATACATGACTATAATAAGGCCTGTTTGGACTTACGGAGTTGAGCTATGGGGCTCCACTAAACCATCGAATTCCTCTCGTATCCAATCCTTCGTAAAATCCTCAATGCTCCCAACTTTGTTACAAATAAAACCATCCATAATGACCTTAATGTTTCTTATGTTTCAGATCTGGCCCAATCCAGATACCTATCCTTCCATAATAAACTTCAGAATCATCCCAACCCTCTCGTTTCTAACCTTGCTTCCTCTTCAATTCCTGATAACCCTGCGAGGCGTCTGAAAAGAAGATGGCCCCGTGATCTCCTAATGTAGACATATCATTAGAGTGCTACGATTGGGTAGTTACTCAGCAAATGTTTTCATGTCATTATATCCATATGTTCAAATTTACTAGATGTATTTATATAATACAGTTGTAAATATTAAGAATATATATATATATATGAAGTTTGCTGATGTCCATATTGAAAATGCACACTTCCGAGGATTTAGACGGATGATAATAATATGATAAAAAGGGATCTGTACCAAGGACTACTGAAGTTGAATAGAGAAAAGAATTGTATTAAATTGTAATACATTCCAAAAACTTCTTTAAAACTGTTCCTAATATTCAAATCTTGTTCCGAAATAATTCCTCTTCCATGTCATCCAATGTCACCATAAATCATACATTCCCAGCTTCTTCGATTCAAACAAATCCTCTGTTTATTCTCGCTTCAGGTCTTCGATTCAAATACAATAATAGAAATAAATATTAATACCTTTTTTTTCCTTTTGACAAATTAATACAATATTAACTACCTTAGACAAGCTTAACAAGGAGGAATGAGCTGGAGCGACGGAACCAAAGAGGTCATCGACTCAATCGGCCAAATCAAATATTCATCAAAAGCAATCGAAGAGGCAGAGCATCGCCACGTTCCGATCTAATAAGAATCGATTCACCGGTTTAGAATAAAATCGAAGGAATTTTTCACAATGTATATTTTATATTACAGATTGTAATTAAGCTTAAAAGTGTGTTTAGACATTTCATAAGCTATGGAACAAACAAATATATATAAATAATTACTTCACTAAGCTTGTATTTTTGTTTCATGTTTATGGTATTTTTTATCTGCTGTCGGTATTTAGATAAATAAAATAAATAGTTTGGTTAAGCAATAGTGTCGCTATTAGTTAACTTAGATAGTTGTGTTTCCCATAATTTATGAAATGTCTTAACAAATCTTCACACCTTCCTATCTTTCTCAGATACGGCATCAATGTATATGTAATTTATGGAGAGAAGAATAGTTGGGGTGATCAGTCAAATAAGAAGGCAAAAATAAATGATATTATTTATTTTAACATTAGCCAACGTTTCGACCTGAAGTTCAGGCCATCATCAGGGCTGATTACGGAGATGTAAATCTACGGAATCAGCCCTGATGATGGCCTGAACTTCAGGTCGAAACGTTGGCTAATGTTAAAATAAATAATATCATTTATTTTTGCCTTCTTATTTGACTGATCACCCCAACTATTCTTCTCTCCATTATTCACGACAGTCAACTATTTAACCACTATATGTAATTTAGTTAGCTAAACCTATATTCTATATTATTGTATATGGTAGTATGGATCAGTTTTTTTGGCAATTAGGAGTGATTTAGGTGAAAGAGATATCAAAGGAAAGGAGATTTCATACTGAAGTGATAAATGCCAACTTAAAAAAAAAAAAAAAAAAAAAAACCTATAACTATAATAAAAGTCATTGGTTTCAAAAGTCTAGATCGAAAATAGCATTTCCCGTACAAATGTTTAGTGTAAAATCTGTATTATGTATTAGGAGAGTAGGAGGTAACAGTTAATCAACACATATGTAATTAAATGAACAGCTGTATAATTTGTAAAATAATCGCCATAGAGAGCACTATCGAGCCTAGAGGACTGGGCTTCTGCTGTCTTCTATCCTCCTAATACTAAAATAAAATATGAAAATCACTAAAAATATTTTTATATAATATAGAGATAAAAATATATATCCAGATATGGCTTCTATACTCTCGATAATGAACTTTTTTCCATACTCTAGTCAGTGAGAGAACTACAAACTAAAGCTCTTCCGGAACGATCAAACAGGTCTTGAGCGAGTACAACAATCGATTAGTATAAGTTCAGGGATAGTTGTGTCTTATTAATTAACTATTAAACTGGAGAGGCAAGCTAATGAATTATTAAGCAAATTATTATTTAAAAGTATGAAGTAAAGTATGAAGCTTCAACAATTGTGTGTATTAATAGACTGTCTTGATAATATTATATTGCATTTACTAATTAACAGGTTTTCCCTGACGTCGCCTGTACCTCGAATGGACCAGGAATAAGAATGAATAGCCACTTAATGTGAGAGTTATCGCGAGGAAAGGAGAAAAGAGGAGGAGGGGGTGTAACAGTTTAATTTAGAAAGCTGTAAGTACGAAGATAATTTAAAGGAGTTTAGAATTAAAAATAGACATTAATCAGTCCATCAGACTGAGACTGCAGGCGGACACGCTAAAGATATCTATCATTCCGTTTACCAAAATAGAAGTATTCCAGGGGAGGGGGGTAGCGATAGGTAAATATAAATACAACGGATATATAAAAATACAACACGATAAATAATCGCAGACGCTGAAATATGCAGCCGTATCCTGTCTAGGATTGGTCAGAAACAAACGAATTATAGCCACCACAAAAATATCATAACGAAAGTATATTAAATATAAACACTCACTTATTTTAAAATAATTAACAATTAAAAATCTACACTATATATCCCTTTGCCGTGTCTCAGGAGCAACGAATTTTAATGAATAGGTATTAAACGAAAGGAGGGGGAGAAACTTTCGGACTGAAAACCCCAAAATGAAAACATTTATTTTTTCA